GTTGCTGCCTGAAACAATCCAAATTCGATCCAGCGAAACGAACTCCATTTTGCACATTTTCTATACTATGCACATGCATGTTGAGGCCAAAACGTGCGAAAATAACCAGAAATTTTACGCGCCTATTTGATTCAGCGGACTTTGCATTTACAAACCTTTTTCGATCACTGATAAGTGGAATTATTAAACGTATATCGGACAATGACCAGGGAATTAGCATCTGGCAGAATGAATTACTCGACAAAAGTCCTAAAATGTCTGCCGAGAGGAAACACCCAAGCTGGTTGAAAAATAGGTATAAATAGTAAAGAATGATGGCAAATACTTAATAAATTTGTTACTAGGATTAGAACCATTTAACAACAGGCATTATATACCTGTATGTCGCAGCTGGAATTGAGGTGGCGTAATATTTTACGCATCACCAATGCATCACTTGAGGCTGATATCTCAGGTTTTATTAGTTTTATCTATAGAACTAGCATTTACGATTATGCATTAATGATCCTTGGTCCTATATATATCAGCACTGCCTAGCCGAAAACGAATGATGATGGTTCATGGCTTTACAGGAAAAACTAGGTACTTGATTATATGCTTTACTATCATTAGCTGTTTGTAGATGACATCCCTTGACAGTTTTGGCTGTTCGTTTTCGTTTTCTGTCGCATCTCAGCAGCAGACGAACATTAATCTATATGTACGTGGCACCAGCGCGCAGCCTTTTCTACGAAATAGCTTTAGGTCAACCTATTAACCAGTTAATTAATATGTACCATTTTAGGCCGGTAAATTTAATGTTACAGTGAAAGTCTTCTCGTCTTAACAATGCTCTAAAATGGAGGTAGAGCGCATAGATCTATACCATGTTATCTACAGATCATTGGTGCACTTAAATAGGGAATTGTCTTCTTTCTCGCAGACTGCTTTCAAGTACGATACATAGATGGCGATAATTTTATTAAATAACGACACGTAACGTTACACCTGACTGAAGCGCCTATTATGGCTAAAGAAGATTCTAATATAATTTTACGAAGCATTTTGCAAAAACTAAGCTGTCGATGTTAGGAGACTATATATTTATCCCATTTATTTAAAAAACAGCAATTTAATTAGTGCGTCATTTCTTTTTAGGCAAGAAGAGATCGGTAGACTATTCAGGAGGCCAAAAGGCACCCTGTTGCTTTGCAATGAAGTATTTTCGCACAAGCTACAAGAATAGCTAAAAAGTTTCGTCTTTTAGACGGAGCCGTTTGAAGAGTGTCAACAATTTTTTGATTTGTAGATGCTTAATATATGTTTTTTTCACGCCAGATCGTTAGGGTATTTGACGAACCTTAACAGCACCTTTTAGTGCCTATGACACTCGAACTATTAGCCCAGTTAAAAGTAGTAAATGGTTTCTTTAGTGGTTAGAGCTAAATAGATCCACAGTTCGTATATTTTCACGAGGACATGTAAAAGGGAACAGTTAAAAATAATCAGTTTCATGCTAGGCTTGTTGCACTTGGTATAGAATCTGGATTAGGATGTTAAATTATATCCTTCTTCCAGCTTTCGAGTTGCGGACCAATATCGGGTTTTTTCTTTATTTACCAGTTCACTTAATAAAGCTAGCTAGAGGTCAGCGATTTAGGCTATCCACATTTGTTAGCGTTAAGTTCGTTACCGCTGATTTAGCTAAGCATTTCTATTGTCTACTGAAAACTGAAACTGACGAGGTACCCACTAATATCAGTTCCATAAAAATTCCAGATGTTTAAATGGTGACTACTTCATTTTGACCGAAGTGCACCGAGTCGTTAGGGCGCTAGTGTACATTTTAACTGCGAGCGTATTAGAAACTTCCGGCGTCCTCGATGTGGCTTTATTGGCGAACAACACCTTCGATCTTTTCTTGCTAAAGTCTGCAACCTAAAAACATTGGATTGTAAGTTCTCACGACGTGTTTCACAGAGAAAGTCTGTTCGAACGGCGCGGACTTTGCACAAAATTTCAACACAGTATAGCGGGCCGTAGACAACACTGGGTTAGAATACCACTGGCAATTAATATCTGCTATCGGACTTTTTGAGGATAATGACTGCGAAAACGAGCTTCAAGTCACGAGCACGAACAGAAGACTACTGACACTCAATCTCTAATACAAGCTTCTAGTGGGTAGGTTAAAACTGTCAAATTCGTCATTAGATTTATTGTCTCTATTGTACCTACGGTTTGAGATTCCATACAGTGCTCCATGGGTTAATTTCTCACGAACGACAGCGCTTACTTTTCCGTTTGCACGTCGTTTCTAGCCTTTCCACTGCTCATGCCAAAAGCGGCTTTCTTAGTTCCCCTATCGGTCTTAAATCTCATTCGAAAGTCTAGGATCACCAGCCATCCCGATATGGTGAGTCAGCTGGTGTTTTCGATCTATTAAATACTTCATGTTATTTAATTGACTGTATTCTATAAGAAATTATTAATTCTATAACAAATATTGGGAGTCACATTTCAGTTCCTTTTTGTAAGTTATGTCTGTTTTGTTTGCCCCAACTTCTTCAGTGAACCATTATCATTCAACTCAGTTTCGCAGTTTAATACAATAATAATAGTAGTAATTGTGCAGTGAAGCCCCTGCGGTTATCGGGAAAAATCTACGATCATTTAGCGATCGGAGTAGCCCAAAGTGCCCTCGAAATGAATAGCCGTTGCTCTAAAACCCTTACATTACCGACACTACAACCTTGGTAATGATTACCCGTCTGATCATGCAACAGAAGTTTCTTAAGGAGGCTTTTGGCTAAAACCAAATTTTTTCACTACGCGATCGACCACTGCGTAAAAGCAAGCTAACCTCTACGCAACGCTTCGATAAGCGATTAACAAGTGCATAACTAGTGCAAAGGGGGCTCGCACAAGAGGTCTTCATCTAAACGAAAACACCAGTCGAATAAATGAAGGGCGGCTCCAGTCTACGACTTCGGTGGGAAGTGGTATCATTTGGCGTTTCTCAATGAAGGAATATTTTGGTAAACAGAGTACAGGAAAATACCGAATCGTATTTACTATTTATCTAAAATCACGATTGCGCGCCCGCTAAAAAATCACTTCTAATGGCAAATCACTATTTAAAGCGTTTTGATGACTTAATTGGGCAGTTGCACTATTGTTGCCTTTCATGCTCTACGAGCGCCAAGATACATTTAAAGAAGATCTTAGACATATTGGCAAACAATATTAACAGATAACAGAAGCCTTTACATAGTCAATGTATTGTACGTTTACCATTTTGTTATACCAAGAAGAGATGCCATCGGCATTCCGGCATATTGTGTGCCACAAATTTTAAGTCTCTCTGTCTGGCCGACGGTTGTCAAAGACTGTTTGCGATTTCATATTGCGGCCGAAAACTGAAAATAGGACATGCCCACGGTGAACTGTGGTAAGCTCACGCGAAGCAAATAAACAAAGGTTTATTAGTGAATTGAAGATCGGATCGCCGAACTGGAGTGCTACGACCAATGATGAGAATGGATCACCTTTGTTACGAAGCTTTTGAAATAAGTTGTCAAACCTGAACCGAATTATGTAATTCGTAGGCATATAGAATGCTAACCGAACTCAGGCTCGCCGTTATAAATGACCTCTAGTTAATTCTCTAAACATTTATCGTTTGCCAGACATGGTCAGTCAATTCGTTTGTCCTTAGACAGTTCATATAAATTGTACAGCATTGTTAGTACCATCAGCGTTGTTGACGTCATAATAGCTCTGCCAAAAGATATGTATTTGCTTATGCACCATACTCAATGTTTTCCTTAAGATTTCAGTAACTTCATAGATGGAGGGAGTAAGCTTACGGAGGAATGATAGCAGATTTCAGCAATATCCGTTGACTCGCAGTTTTATTCTATCATAATCAGTCACGAGCGAAATTTATGACCGCGCGAACCAGCCAGCTTTAGGCTGGAAATGGCGTTAACTAGCGGAACATTTGTACAAAGGACCACGTAAGGCTATTGTATTTTCACAGTTGTACTATAGTCGAAAGCGCTATTACTGCTGTGTTAATGAAGATCCGCAATGGCTACAGTCGAAGGGGGGCGACCGCAGGCCTACTATTAAGTGCAGGTGCACCGTGAACGGATGGCTTAAACTTATTGAAATAGTGTTTCGTTTAGTCATACTGTTGCTTTTGTATTCTGCGTGTATGGATGCGTTTACGTATGGTCGTATTTCTTGTGAACGATGATGACGTTGATTTCTGTATCCGTCATTTTTTCGTCATGTGCTGCTCAAGCGTTTCTTACCTCAGTGATGTATATATATATCAAAGCGCTCGCTACAATTCTCTATGCTAGCGACCCGGCTGCGAAAGTAGCTCTGGCCATTGCCGCCGAAGTAATGGGCTTTATAGTGCATGTATTTTACGGAATTGATGCCTTGTTTGAATTCAAAGGCGAAGCTGTTTAGGATCAGCTTTACAAGTTCGTATCACATTTCTAGTGAGCAGACAGGAAGTTTTAACACACCATCCGTGGCTTCCGTATACTGCCCATCGCAAGAAACTCGGTTGGCATTGGCTTTCGACGACGTCCCACATATGAACGCAATAGGATATTATTATTGTCATTGTCTTATCTGCTAAAGTCGATTGCGTTTTATATGAAATACATTCTTTGTGTTCGAATTTTATAAAAGTATCAACCAATTCCCACATGTCGCAATGGTTTTTACTCAATGCGTTTAAGATCTCAGCGATTGAAATGTGTTTTACTTTATTCATTCATTGTAAAATGAGTGTTTATGTCAATATTTCTTTTCGGATACTGCTTTCGTTTGTTATCACTCGAATTATAATAAAACGCTGTGTTCCTCAACAAACTGAAAAGCTAAAAGCATCTGAAAACACTTTTGAAGTCAATGACTGGCTTACATGCTTTATTCTTTTTTTTTAAGCTTATTTAGCCATAATTAGTGAATAGGTCATGTTATAAGCATAAGTTACGTTTGCCACCAGGTTCAGTTCTGAAAGCCTTTTGTAGCTGATTATCTCCATTGCGGGTACTTTGCTTGCTGTGTCTAACAGCAAAGCCATATGTAGCACAAAAGCAACGATGTAGAAACTGATTTTTTTCTAAAATTATTCACCCCACTGATCTCACCGTATACACATGAAAGTGGTACAATTGCAAATGTAACTTTCGAAATAGCTTCGAATATCGTGTAAACAACGAGATATGATATAAACGCATGTTGTTGCATCTTGAACCTGTCACGTTTCAGCACGATGGCGTTGCAACAAGATACTGCAGCGTTGGCGCTTGGTATTTGCTCTCTTTCCGTTTCGCCTGTGTAAGAGAAAGAGCAATATCTTATCGACGAGCGGCTGAAATTGACCATCGGTACAGAACACCTAAGATCAGGGAAGAAAGAATAGGCTAACTCTATCTTTGGTTATAGGACATCACTTTAAATTACACGTAGTTATGCAGCCTTCGTGGTGGACGTGTAGTTAACAAAAGTGACCGTACTCAGTGCATTCGAATAAAAAATGGCCTTTCAATAGAAAATAGCATATACGGATGCAAATTATAAGTCGACGTGCACTACCAATTACAAAGCTTTTTACCTATCTTCTTAAACTATCGCCTTTTAAATGGCTGTGGACGCTATAAAAGAAGCCCTGTATAAGAAATTCTGTTCTGAAATCGTTTTTTCACGGGGCCCTACATATATGTGACAAATTGCGGTTAGCCGTGTGCGTTGGCTTATAAATAATGAGATATTATCATCAATTGAAGTGGGCCGTCGGAGTTCGTTGTCGCTTTGAATTTTCTACTTTGTCTTAATCATAGTTAAGCCTCGAGACACAAGATATTATCACGGCTATTACTCCAAGAATAGATGATGGGGGCGACGTTATAACGTTAAGATTAGACATCTATTTACCGTGAACGGGTGCTTCAAAGCTGGCCAAATAATATCCAGTCCTAGAGCTCTTGCTGATTCTGTTGATACAAGCAGCATATTATTATATTGTGATCTAGGGTAGAGGAAATATGTCGTTCATTTTTTTCTTAATGATGTTATTGATGCTGATCTGCGTCCGCCTATCGACTGGCTATGGATTTCTTGGATCAACCATGTACACAAATAATTATTGCATACTAAGATTTCCTTTTTATTTAATAGGCTCAATCAATGTTTTTTTTTTTATTGTGGATCCTCGCTATGATATATTGTTACTTTTACAACCGTCAGGGCTGCAAGGGCTCATCAAAAGGCGGCCATTCGCGATAATGATTTTTTTTTGGTTAATCGTTTTGTATCGTTACGGTCATTACAGGACGAGACTCTATCCATCCGCCCAAAACGCTTCTGCATAACGACGACTGTGATCATCTAAATGGCTTTTTAACGCACAGCAATGAAATTGAACAAAAAAACGTGAAAATTTACCCAAAAGTACTGTAAAAAGAGAACTAGTAAAGAAAAAGAAGTGAATGGTCCTGAAGAAAAAAAAAAACTCTTGTATATCAGATACAGGACTTCGATAGGCACTTTCAAAATCCTTGTTTTGTTAACCAAATTCAGTTACCTAGCTGAATTCGTTCTTATCAAGTTACATCAGCGATTACGGTTTTTAACAGTTTTATGGAAGGAACAGTGTCTCTTACGCAAGACCATTGACGCTTCATAAAATTTAAGAGTAGCAGGGCGATTTAGGACTTGGTCTGCAGGTCAAATGAAGTTAAAGTAGACACGCACTGCTGAGAAGTAGCAGCAATCAAAACGTTTTATTAAAAGTGGGATCGTAATTATTTTTCCTCTCCAAAACGGCGCTTAATTTTTCTATCGAAAACAATTCTAATAAATTTTCGAGCATTTTAAATCTAAATCTCATTGAAAATGTTATGGTTTGCCTCACGAAAATCTTGGTCGGATTGTGCGGAGGTTGTGTGGAAGTGGCAAAAGGATAGACCGTTCGAGTTCGAGACCAACAACTTGCTATCTCAGTGCATAAACGCGCCGCATAACAATAGTTAGCCAACAAACGATATAATAGCAACTCAAGAATAATAAAGGAAATTCATGTGTTTATAAAACATCGTAGATAAAAGGGGACTGTATAAATAAAAACAACGATCCCGCTAGCTTATCTTTACTACTCAACCAATATCACGGCCCCACGCAGTAAAAAAAAGAAACATTGGTAAATCAAACACAGAGAAATATGCAGTGAAATTTAGTGGGGTAGATAGAGTAACCCACATTTTAGCTAGCTTTCTTTGATAACTGGGTCAACTAGCTACCTTGGGGGAAACGTAATGGTGAAGTCGGTGCGGTATGCCTCAGTCGGGATAAACCCATACAGAAGCTGCGTACGATGACATAGACACTGAGCGAGACATTTTGTTTGCGAGTTTTGAAGCCACTGTATATCCAAGTTTTTGTTAATTCGCTAAGAAACACATAATATTAATTAACTTTCCGGAAGAAACCTACCATATTCTGGAGACTAATCTTACAGTAAGTTTATAGAACCGGCTTATACCTTATATAGAAAATGTTGATGTTGTCGATGACTTCTTTTATAGTCACCATCTGACAGCCTCTATTTGGCTTGGTCCTTGATTATAGTTGCCATCATTAAAACAGTACTTCCGTTCCATTTCATGCCTTTTCTAAAACCCCTCTCTGTAGACTGATTCTGGAAACTTCTAGCTGCACATCAGCGTTATCGCATTAGTTATGCATTAGGGGATTTATTTTACTACAATATGTTATCAAATAAAAGAAGATTTTTAAAATACCGTTACACAAGAGATAAACCCAGTTTAAAAGTGATCAGTTGCATCGAGTTACCCTGCACACGTTTACTTACTGATTCCTCTTTAAAGTTATAATGGCCAAATGTGCTCATTCTAGCGTAATTTAAATTCCCATGCGGGAGTTATAAATCAGTTTCATTAAATTAAGGGCAACTCCAAAAAAAGCCACAGCTAGATATTAAATAACCTGTTGCACCTACAGTGCCAGACACGCATCTTCGAAAGTATAAGATAAATAGATAAAGTGTGTACTAGTTTACAATATATACCGTATTTCTTCTGAGGCCAATAGCATGTGTTTGCAATAAACCCACTCAATTTCACCTCACCGATAATTATAACAGCTATTGGTATGACAAAAATGTGAAAACGTGGGGAACGATTAGACCTATGGAAAAGTTTAGTCTACTCTATCAGATATGAAATTTAGGTTTAAGAACAATTAGTTTCTAAGTACAACGCGAGATATGATTATTTACAATATACAATTACAAATAGTGCAATACAAATAAAAGAAGGGAATTTATCCAATCAAAAAATAAATGTTAAAATTATTTACACAGTATTCTTACATAACATAATATTTAAAGTACTCATATGCTACATAGTCTTTATTGTTTTGTTGTTTCATGTTTGTCGTATCCCATGACCAACCGTCGGTGCCTGAACTGCCTCAAATTGTTAGCTGTGGAGTTTCTTTACTACGGCAGCTATGGGATACACGCATTCGGTCTCGTAACCATGCAACCTCCAAAAGTGTGTCCTTACTTTGGCATTGTTGGCATACTCTCCTCATTGCAACTCCAGGCTGCACGTAGTCTACTTTCTTTTTTTTTGATGAAATAAAGACGCGAATTATACAATATAGGTTTGCGATATCACCTTCGTTAACCCCTTAGACATGGGCGTTCTTCGTCGATCCAGCCGCATCACCGTTTGTCTGGCGATTGTTTACATCACCACGGGTATCCTAATTCTTTCTGATCGCATAAGTTCGCTTTCATTTGGGTTTCGCCGGCTAAAATAACAAACTTTTTTAGAGAATAATCGCTGATAAACAAGTGTTCAAATCCAGTTAAGTGCCAGTGTGGTTTTGCATAGCGCTCCTGGTATGACATTCGTGTTCCATGGTGCTGCTTGTGAAAATAATAAGGTAATGTTACATAGAACTTTTTTTTAAATGGAAGAGCACTCAACCTTAGAGACTAGTGCCCGGTACGTTTTGTTTACTTTAAGCTGAAGTGCATTGACTATTTGGCATGTTGCTGCTATACCATAAATCGCAGATTTCGCCATGCCAGAAGTCGCATCGTTAATCAAAACAGGATAAGTCTCTCTTTCTATCCGTCAAGCAAGATATGAACCATAATAAATTGACCTTCAGAAATATTACCACAATTTAAGAATAATATGCGTCGCGGTCTGTGAAATAAATAGACGTGGATACAATTTGTCGTCGCTCAACTAGATTGATATCGAAATACAAATTATGTAGGTAATTACGATAACTGTGGGCTAAACTTAAACTGCATTGTAGGATTCACGTGTCTATTGGTTCTTTTTTTTATAATAATGACTACAGATTTATACTTTATTTCCCTATTAAAAGTAAGATAACCGCTGTCAGTAGCTAAGACGATACCAAGAGAGTAGTATGACAGTAAATTCTTTATTATCTCCAAACAATAATTTTCTCTTTTTTTTTTTGCGATCTTTATTGCAGTATTGCCAGTGAGTTTACTCGGTATTAGATTGAGCATTATTATTATTATTTACTTATGGACGGGTCCAAAGGCAGTGAAGCAAATGATTCGCAGAATGGCGTATCCTCCGCTGCACCTACAGGTAGGTTTTCGTTGAATCTTTACGTATATGTGTTTTCGTATGCGCCTTTTCAAAACATTTACAAGTACCCGCCAAGACATACACATAAGATACATGCGTTGCTATAGCAATGCGCCAAATATATAGTTTTTCATTTACACAAGCTAGTAGTACGTGTCGTTCGGATGGCCGCAGCAAGCATGTAACCATATTTAAGCGAGTTTGATGCGACAAACGGCTATGACTGTCTTTATTGAGTGAATTTGAACTAAAAAATTAAAGAAATTAAAAGAAACAAACAATTGAGGAGACAATTTGCTGAGGTCTCCACCGTTCGATTGTGTCATTTCCAATACCCCCTTTGAAGTGTATAATATAGCAAAACGCCACGTAGCAAATTATGAACTGTTCGTAAGCAAGTCTGAGTAAAAAAACTCGGACTTGATTTTTGAGATGGCAAAAAAATCGAGCACGTTCTAATGGAAGTTGGATAACTATACATCCAAATCAAATAAATAAAGTATGTTCTATTGCAGGAGTAGCTACCAATCGGGATGACGTGGTCACAGAGGAAGGATCCAGCACAGAATCGGATGCCGAGAGGCTTATTAAAGAGGCTGCGCAGACACTGGGAGCCAGGTAGATTATACGAAGCGCTATTATTAGGATAGATTAATGCAACTGCGAACAAAAATTATTAAGTAGATTCTGGTTCATATGGATGCGATTTTCCTATAAAGGTACAAATACAGTTTTGAAGACCACATCTGTCTAGTTTTACGTTTGATGACTAGGTTCCTAGTCTGGAAAAAAAACAATCAGAAATCGTTGTTTCAAACATGGTAATACAAGACATACGTTCAATACAGATAATAAGTTAAGTATAGAAAATCAGCGTATGCTCTCCCTTTGTAACTAGCCAGACGCGCTTTGCTTTATTCGTTCCAGGCAGACGAACCAGTGTTATTGTGGAGGAGAACGAATTCTAGGAAAATTTGAAATGCAATGCGTCGGATGCTATCGCTGGTTTCATGAGGTTGGTACCACCAAAATTATTTTTGTTTTATTTTACTAATTTTTATACTTGAATAGATGATTTTTGCTGACCTGCCTTATTGATTCGCCTTAAGCTCTGATTTACTTTTACAGGTGATATTTAGATATTTTCTATAAAACACGATATCATAAACTATTTCGTAAGATAAAAGAATCAAACAAAAAAATCTTACACAAAACCTTTAACTTGGAATTTTTTATTTGTGTCCATTGGTGTTTGTGCTACAACATTGCAGGCCTGTCTAGATGTGACAATACCCGCCACGCTTCCGTTCACAATCAACTATGCGTTTATTTGCAAAACATGCAATCCCGCCGGAGTAGAGAATTTTCAAAAAAAACAGCCCGGTTAGATATGGTTTTCGAAATGCAAAGTTTCAATTCAAGCGAAAATTACTCTAAGTTCATATCCTGATGACTATGTGAACTATCTATTGATTCGGAATTAAGAAGGCAAGTTTACTGAAACGATACATAATGTACGTATATTGCAGGTTTTAGGGAAATGTGCATAACGGCAGTGGCTAGCCTGCAATTTCGATCGCGCGAAGACGGTACAAATAAGAACATGTTTTCCAGGTAACCTTATTTAGAAACTTCTTTCTGTATTTAGACTACAGTCAACAGACAGACAGTACCGTAAAGCCTCAGTCTTTGCACAAGAGAAACACGTTAGAAGTTGGTTGGACGTTGATTAACGTCCGCAGATTTAGATTGTCTTTGACGATCTCTTGCCATTTATTAGGATGCGCACTACCACGCGTATGTAGTTTCTTATGTGGCTACTCATTGTCGCCTTTTTAGGGATAAGGAGATTATTCCATGGATTGATCGTAACTGGGAGAATCTCACTTCTGTGCCGCGGAGAATTAAACAGACCTGGCACTCCACCATTCTCAAAACAATGGTAAATACTCAATAAACATAACTGAACTATCTTATAAAAATGTTGCTTAGTGATAAGGGCTGTCAATTCTATAGCAATTGATTGTCCATCTAGTGTATAATTTATGCCGTAACGAACAAGACTTATCTGTCTAATATCAGCACACATTGTTAGTATGAATGATGTTATTGCGGAAATCAATTATCATATAGTCTATCGAATTTCATGTTTTGCAGATGTTCACGAAGGATTCAGTCATTATCGAGTCTTTCACATTTTGTTTCTAAGATCTCCGTTCAAAAGACTAAGAATTACTGAATAGTATTAAATGTAGCTCTATAGGTATAACGTTATGATAATTCATATTAATCATGACAATAATAATTCTAGGGATACAATTGAACTAACAATGTTCGACTTTTTGATTTGACGATTTTGCATTTTATCTGTGCTATTCGCTCATTTCCTTTTTCTTCTCTCAGCAAAGAGAGGTGTCCGTTTTCCTGAACCAGGATGACGTGTATTTTGGCTTGGTGGACAGCGACCTGTTCCGCCTAATGCCTCCGTATGATTCACAGTCGAAACTTCAACTTCTCAGGACACAAGATCAACAGATTGCACAGGCAGCAGCTGCTCAACAACAACAGGTTTTATTATTAATAGCACTACTGTAAGTATTATCAATGCATTTGTCTGATTTCGAGAATCTATCTGAAAGTCAATCATATAACATTGTACATTTCTGCTTCAGTCTCAGGCAGGCGCAGGTGGAGCGACTGGACCAGCAAAAAGAGGCCCAAAAAGGAAGCTGCCTGATGGACAAGGGCCTCAGTCTAACTATGGGAGGGTAAGCAAACTGTATACCGCCGAAATCAGTATTGGCATAAATTATGAGATTAGAAAGCAATTTTAATTAGCTTCGGACACATATACACTAATTGATTCTGGTGAATAATTATACATTTCCTTTTAGATGTTTCAGTCTGATGTGTATAGTGACATTGGGGTCAAACACCCTCACAAATATCCAGATACTTGAAATTCACTGGCGTCTCTGTTTTTCTTGACTTCAGAGTAAAGTCAAGTCGGATTTAGTTATGCCACGCCTTCCACCTGGGGGTTATCCTTTAGAACATCCATTTAATAAGGACGGATTTCATTATTTCCTCGCGGAACCCGACCCTCACGCGCCGTTTCGACAAGAGTTTGATGATAGTGTTGACTGGGCTGGAAAACCCATTCCTGGATGGCTCTATAGAAAGCTTGAGCCTGAAAAAGCAAGTATCTTTTTCTAAAAAAAGAGTCTGATAATAGAAATCAAGAATTACGCTTTGGTGAGCCTTTTTTGTCGAAATAAAGCATTATTCATTGACTAATGACTCTTAGTGGCTCTTCACTTCTTCAGGTCCTTTTAGCTATGCATGATCGAGCGCCTCAACTGAAGATATCCGAGGATCGACTGTCGATCACTGGTGAAAAAGGGTAATGTTTCTGTTTTAACTGAAGTTTGCAAGCGCCGGTATAACTTCTTGGAGAAAATAACGCTTGGCCAATTCAGCTAATGATACAACTTAGTATTGTATAGCGAATTCTGTTTAAAAAAGCTATATCTTTGTACACACACTTGATCTTTATTCAACATAGCTGCAATCACTGTTCCCTTTCACAGATACTCTATGGTTCGTGCTACACATGGTGTCTGTTCGGGCTCTTGGTATTTTGAAGCCATCATTCAGGAGATGCCGGATAACTCGGCGTCACGCATTGGGTGGGCTATGCCATCAGCTAATTTACAGGTGCGTTTTGATAAGAATTTTAATAAGATACAACTCGTAATTTTGTTTATTATGTTAAATTTCTGAACAAAGTATGTTTTGAAGCCTGCTTTTTGACGCAGCTAAATAAATAGAACTTTTATTTTAAAATTATTTCGCTCTCTAATACAATCATTAATTACAGGCACCCCTGGGCTATGACAAATTCGGATTCTCATGGCGTAGTCGCAAAGGCACGAAGTTCCACCAGTCGATCGGAAAGCATTTCAGTGACACCGGCTACGGCAGAGGGGATGTCATTGGTTGCCTCATACAGCTCCCAGGCCCTACACATCCTAACGACCTGGTATGTTATAACAGGAAGAGTGTCGCATGCGATGTTTTACTATATTTTACAAAGACATCTGCTTTTTATGGGATACATTTTTAAGCTCTCATATTAATGTTGTGTGTATATGCAAACAACGTCTATATATATTTCAACAAAATATTATTCAAACTTATAAATTGATGACGTCGGGCATGTTAGATGTGCATTTTAGTTTAGTCTTTATCTCGGTCCAGTGTACTTCGGATTTCGTTTATGTTGAATTTGCATTAACGTCACAGGTGAAGCTTCCAACAACTCTGAAGGATCGACCACTGGTTAAATTCAAGCAGTACCTTTACTACGAAGAAGCAGATAAACCACAGCAGGCGGCGAAAACTCTCGAGCCTGTTAAGGATGCTAAGGTCGGCGTTTATATGGTATTATAGCATATTTGATGATTGTTCAAGTATGAATGTAGAATGTTGCTGTCTCCGCCTAAGCATGGTTTCTAATACTGAACTGCGAGGTATTTTGCTGAACTTCAGGTTATGTTTTTTCGTAATGGCCGTTTGGAGGGTGTGGCATACGAAGACATTTTCGGCGGCATATACTACCCAGCGGTGTCGATCTACAAAAATGCAACAATTCGAATGAACTTCGGACCACGATTCCGACATTCACCCCGTGGTCTGCAGGCTAGCTCTGCGAAATACCGTCCGGTCAGTGGTTGCTTATTATTTTGTCCGGCTTGTTCTAGATCCGGCGCTTAACTTAAAAAAATGTTAACTTTTGCTTTAAATATTAACAAACATATGACAATGGGCCACATTATCCATTTCTATTGACATTTTAGTTGTTTGTCATCCTATTAGCTGAAAATCCTGAAAGACTTTAACAATAACATTCTAACTGTAATCGAGAGACACGCAGTCGGATGTTAACTACTTCAGTCCTAGGAGAGCAATTGCGCTTACGTTTTATTCGATAGATAAACAAATAATTGGTAAGGAATTAATTGACAAAGGCTATTTCAATGTTTATCACAGATGTCCGACGCAGTTCATCAAAATATGGTTGAACAAACGATGGCAGACATTATCTACCTGGTTGAAAACGAGCAACACTTCAAGGTGGAAGCACTCAATTTCTAGTCGCCTCTGGAGGCAATAAATCGTGCTCTCGTTTACTCATTGATATCAGAGTGACTTGTTTTTCAGGTGAACCGTTCCATCATCAAAAATGAATCACGACAAATTAAGTAATATAAAGAGTGTATGTTTTTCCCAAAAAGTGGAAAAAAGATTCAAGAACTCTGACCATTACGTACCTGTCGAGTGTTCCATATAGCGATACATTTGCGTAAACTCGGGAACAAAACCAACAAGAACTTTGATGTCATCTAACATCATTACCCCCTGTTTATCACTGTGTCATTATGTATATTAAATAATTATCTCCTTCTGCCTAATAAAACCTCTTCTAGCCACGTGACATTCAGCAATGAACCCGTTGATGGCGCAGATCCGTGTGGGACGGATCTCGCAAGTGGTATTATTGCAAACTAAAATTGATATCTATCATTTGTTTGTGAGTTAATAGTAATGTTTTGTGAAGTTAGAAATGATGTTACATCAACGCGAAACGCGCGAGAGCATCTTGTTTATAATATAAATAACTGCAAATAGTTTGTACCATTTGGTACGTTCGGACTGTGTGCCCGCTGTTAAGCCAAAAACATTTTCGAATCGATAAATGGTCAAAGCTAACGTGGCTGTGGCGCCACATGTACGTGCTGCTTAAATATTTTTTGTTCAGGCTATTGAATACTTTTGCCGCTTTTATAGGAAATGAATAAATATCGACAAAAGCGCACTTTTTCCACTATGGGAACTAACCATGTAAAGACCAAATAGTGTAAATTGATGAAATTTAATAAAGGACAAATGGATAGATATTATTATGCAGAACGAATTGATTTACATTCATTTAACTCAATATTCTCTAATCTTATAGTAGTATTGCCTGCAGTTCTTTTGAAATAACAAGTTTGTTGAAATGTTACACTGGAACCGTCATTATTATTAATTTGAAGCTCGGATTATCGTCATCCTCATACTTGACAGCTATACGAAAGAAATAAATCGTGCTCGCGTAGTGCACCCTCAGCTCAGCTTAGCTCAGCTCATCATAACAACGCTTCATATCATTGTTGTAATGATGGGAAAGCAACAACTTTTTTCGAGTAGCAATTTATTTAGTTGCCATTGAACTTCCGCTTTTGAAATCTAAACTTACTTAAGCTTACCTATTTGAAGTTTCTTTTGAAGTTTACTGGAAATAAGTGAATCTTAGGTTCGGTATCAGTCTTAGAGGGTAGTAGAAACCGATATAAAAACAGACATATTTATTATGAAACGACGTGGTCTGAATGACTCTATGGGATCAATATGCAGAGAAATGAGCACTGACGCGCAAATGATGCAGACAGCGATAATTAATTAAGTGCATGCAGTCACCGTTTAAGGTAAAATTAAAAAGAAGGAAATTAAAGGAAATTAAAAAGGGTATCGGAAAGAAATCATATAGAACGCTGCAAGAAAATAGTTAATGCTTTTCTGCCAGTCTTTATCACGAGATAATATAACAGTGAACGGGACGCACGCTTCCGTGCGCATGAATAGCCAGGATCGGATTAAAATCGAAGTGAACTCAGTAGGAAATCTCGAACAGGCCCTATGCAATGCAACAGAGAAATCATACTGCTTATAAACGCGCTTCTTAATATACGTAGGATCATTTTGAGGTGCTCCCTCAGTTTAGCAAATATGAAATCATAGTTTTTTTTTTTAAATAATCAGAAAGCTGTGCTGTTTATCGAGTGCAATCTAGTAAGTGGTCTCCAAGGGCGCCAATGACAATAACTGAAAATGAAACGAGAAGCTTATACGCAGAATATGAAATATAGACACTTATTGAATGGGCGCAAACTCCAGATAGGTTAGGCTAAATGTATCAGTAGAAACCTTGACAGCTTTGAAAGCCATTTGTAGAAGCTCTCATGTACTTTATCAGGTTTTCATTGGAAATGATTCGGATGTTACCTAGCTCATCAGTCAATAATGGGAGGGCTGCCGCGTTGACTAATTTGAACTATCTTTCTTCACAACCCAACCACCGTGTCTTATCGCATAGTGCACTAAAACCGTAACCGGGATCACAAGAAAAATCTACTGTTGATTGAAAGGCCTCCAGCATCTAGCACCATCTTACAGACGGAAGTAATATGTAGATTGATTTTCATATTATTGGCTATAACAAATTGATAGTGCCCAATAGGCAAGATCGGAAGGTAATCGCATCGGTAAGAACGACAAAAAGGTGATGAAATAGATAAACAGGCTTCAACTCACAATTGTTAAAAGAATAAGGACATACGTTAACGTTTTTATAGAATACTTTTTGGACATCGTAGCGGTGAGTGGTAAAATCGCGCGGAGCTTTAACAAACTATAGAAGATACTGTCATACCCTTTGATCATGCTATCTGCATATTAGTGCTTAGATCAAGTATCGAACTGGAACGGAGCATAAACTGAGTTGTAAACTGATGACAGAGCGAAACAGTGTTGAGTACGATCTTCGTGACAAGATATTTTGAGTTTGGCGCCTGCTGGTGTTGAAAAGTTCTGATCATAATGACTTGGAATTGATGGAGGTTGAAGTCGCAAATTATTCGATTACTTTGAAAGAGTAACAAAAACGTAAACAGACGTCACCAGTATCAACAAACCCATCTCTAGCGGATGCGTAAAAATGGGTAAAAGCTCAAAGGAAGCGAACCTGAATAATTTATTCGCAATAACGTCTATAATATCTAGATAAGATCTACAAAACGTTTTTGGTAAGTTTCAAAATAGCACGAATCAAAATTGTTTTACGTAACTTTACACAGTAGAAGTTTGCCCTCACGCTGGATAGTACGGAATCTGTACGTATTAGCGTGGCTGCACTACATAAAGTGTCACGCAAGCAATAGCATTTGTTATTAAGCAAAGAACACGCGGTGTTTCAATAGAAAATAAATGTGATACTTGAATATGGTAAATCTCTGAATGGGTGAAAAACTGGTGAAGGTGTGTAGGGACGTAGACAAACACTCCAGTAACAATCCGAATAGCAATAGGAAAAGGTAAATGTAGTCATCATAGAGTTATTTCGCCTACTCGGTCATGCAGAATAGTTTGTATGGAGCCATTTTGGCAGGTCATTGAAGTGATTCTAAACAGCTAGACCACTGTAAAAGGGATAGCTGAAGTTCAGCTGAAAAAACTGGGAAAACGTTTTTCTGGTACTAAGCATAACCATAATACATTGGAGCTTCGCTATATTTCACGTGAAACGTTTTAGAACTGAAGTATATATAAAGAAGTGATCTGCTGCCCTTTGGGCAATTTTGATCAGTCTAATTAAATTTTATGAACAATTTGATCTCTAAAGAACAAATGTGGTTGGACCCTACGGTTGCTCGGTACACTAAAGTAATCTTAAGTCGCCCAGACATTACTGCAACAAACTCCGTTGCAATCTTCGTCGAACTTCTTAAGGAGCATTTGTCGATGAAACATCCGGAACGGTAGTTAAAAGCAAGTGCTCACTGCTTCAAACCGCGTCAAAATTCTCATCAGACAGTAGTAACATTATTACAGAAACTACTAGTGAAAGGAGAAGTCTAAATCCTGATTTAACTGTGGTGGGCGTATAGGGAGCGAAAAAAAAAAGTCGACCTGTTACCCGAAATCAACGGTCAAAGCATTGCAGCTCTGAGAGCTATCGCAGAGGATTGCCTCTGGTAGCAACCTGATGGAATTATTTCGATCTACATCGCGAGTGAGTCTTTGGGTAATGCCCATGTAGTAGCTAATGTGTTGGATCACTTGAACAGTCGCTATAGCCTGGTACTTTCAATGAGGACACTTTAATGCCGTTTCGTGTGGTGCTTTAAGCGTGAGAATTGTAAGAAGAGAAGCGCAAGAATCGTCCACGTTATACTGTAGTGGTAACATGTTTGCCTACCAGATTTAAAAACATCTGTTGGTTTGAATTCAACATCGGGTGCACTTGGTTTTATGCTGAGAGCCACCTGTCTAAGACAAGCTTTAACGGCAGCGCAGAACTTGAACTTAAAGACATTCCGTGGAGAAAATGACGATCTCCTCCTCCATTTAATTTGCTTGTTGCTGATTAGGCAATAATATGTTGGGTAATCTTTGAAGAACATGTATTTTCCCCGTGTAAGTAAATACATGGGGAGGCAAATATTTTTTATTAATCGTAATAAAATATAAAGCTGCCACTGAGAAGGGAGACGGTACAAAATGTTCAGAAAGGGTATATACATATTCAGTTTTTGAAGGAGACATGATATCTACCCATTATGATGTTCTCGTTTAATTGCCGATGAAATAATAACCACTTATGATCCGTACTACATGGCACTGAAGGCACCCGTTGAGCAATTTTTACCCGAGTTTATTTCATTCGAACTTCTTCACAAATAGCAAAATGCCATATATCATATGCCGTTGTGAACCTTTCTGTCATTACGCTGGTTACTGCTTATTGTGTTATTGGTGTTGCTGTGAGAAAGAAGACTGCGAATGCGTGAAGCACATTAAATGACATTATCATTGTCGATTGCATCAGTAGTTATTTACAGGACAATTACTTTTCACTTGCGAGCCTCGCTTGGACGAATAGTGTTCCTTTTCTTTTAGGACCACTGAACCCAGTGACAATAATAATTTACGAATCCTCCAACGACGATAGCAACAACGGCATCCGCTTCAACGGTTATAACAGAACCCAATAAAGGATCCGTTACCGCAGACAAGTCACAAGTTCCTTTATAAACTGACCCGTAGAATAATATATACCTATATGAAGTATCTAGGCGTCTGTAATGTTTGTGAGTTACAACTGCTAAGTTGAGTTATTGGTTGGCACAATGTGTCATGATAGGCACCAAAGCTACGTCAGCTTCAGTTCCGATGATGACGACATCGAAATGAAGGCAATAATATTAATATAGGATTTTTTTCGTTCTCGTCTTGCAGAGCAATCAGGTCGCCGTATAGAGTTATCTTTTCGATGATTGGACCATGCTGACTGTGTCGACTATAGCAAATGCCTGGGTGTGGTCTTCTGAAGGAATGACAGACACGCCTTGACGTTGTAGGCACTCAAGCGACTCTATGGTGACAACACCGGCCAACACCCACTCCGTATTTCTCCTTAACAGCTGATCATTACCTTTCGGCTTTTAGTCCTATAGGGGAATGGGCTAACAAGAAAGGAGCAAATAGGAAATCGCTTTAAAAGACATTCATGAGGCGTTCACTGTGGCACATCGTTATATCCCCTGATAGTCGTCCACTACGCTGAGCTTCACTGTTCTTAGAGAACACAGTCACCATAGCTAAATAACCAGAAGTGTTTGTTAAACGTTTTGTTCACCTGTGATAACCAAGCGATCCGTGAGTCTTACTATAAGAAGAAGAAGCTCTAGTTGACTCAAGGAGTTTAAATGTCGTGTTCTCGTTAAAAGTGTCGGGAAAACTACTTGCGTGTACAGTGCTTACAAAAATCTTTCGTCATGAATTTTTTTCAAATTTTCGCGCTTATCCTTATTACATTTATGGCCTCGATGTCCGCCTCTCAGGTACTTAGATTTACTAGGATTCTCCAGGTAGTCCTATTAACTATGCACGTAAAATCCTTTTAAGGCATTCATTGCTCTTGATTAAAGCGTATAATAATCTATTAGTCCAATTTATGGACGCCTAGGTAACTCACTTGATCAGATAATAAAGCCTGTAATGAAGCCAATGCTATACAGTAGCTGGGATCACACAACGCACAAATGTTACTTTTTAGTGCGACATGCCCACTGCAAAATTAAATCGAAGTGTCGAAATATTTGCCAGGTAAAAGCAAGATAATAATGAGCAACAATAAACCTGAGCGGTGTAGTTCCAATCCTCAACTCTGCACCAAAACATGAGAATCCACTACTATAGCACTATAGTAGTACACAATATTCTATATTCCGTTTTAGCAGGTTCGGTATTGCCAAGATCAATATCTAAGAATTGTCGGGATATGCGCCCATTATTGAACATTATTTTGCAGCTTTCTACTTTTTTATTGGAGAGAGAAAATTGTCTTTTCGTAGAAAGTTCGCAACTAAGATATGAATCGGAATAAAATGCATGGTATTTATTTTCTGGCAGGATTTAGAGCCAGATCCCCCTTCTCCCTTATATACGTTTTAGCGTACAAAAACCTTTTGTCCATAGAATTCAAATACAAAATAAATGAGACCTGCACTATTGTTTGGGCGACGAGAAGCGAACGTTAAAAAGATACGAAGCCGTCAAGAAAAAAAAAGTAAAGGTAGATGATTCTAGTTTACTAGTATGGTCCATTGCGTGTAAATACATGTAATATCAACTTTAATCCATTATTCCAAGAGTTGCTTAATTGTCCTCCATTAGTGCGATCATAAATAAAACGACCTGTAAATGCTGGGCCCATTCATTAATCGGATTTTTTCGCTTTGCGCTTTTACATGGATCGAGTGAGCGTTATTTACAAATGTATGGAATATACGCTCCATCATTCATCTTATCGCTATTAGAACTGCCTGTCATGTATTCTGTTTTACTTTGTACAGATTCATGCTACTCTAAGAACAGGTAATGTCAACAAATTACGATCAGTTAAATCTCATGAGCTTTAGATCTGAGCGTGACACATCAATTAAAGACGATTTCTCCCCTCCAACATTCGAAACTCAACGAGGCAACATCTCTCCAAAATGTTAAGTTACTATAGCTATTGTAGCTTAAACAAAGAGCCCACAGTTTTTCTGAAATATCTTCATATGATTCTTTGATACATCATGAACTCGCAATTACAATAGTATAGTTGATAGAACATCGTCATCAGTATCACCATACTCATTTACTTACCTACGAACCTATTTCGGGCTGTATCATGCAGTGTCTATATGTGTGCGCACAGATATGCGCTTATGATATATAACAATGTAATAACTAGATAAGCTATGCTGCGTTGATTTGCTGCTTCTCTATGGCTGTATTATTGGCGTATGTATTGCTGCATTATGTAACAATGCAACCCGATGGGTTCGACGACGTGACTTTTCAGGCCTCTGCAACGACACCTGTAGTCCTTCAGGCGCTCGAGATGCTAAAAGGCGCTGACGAAGTCGTAGGACGAATGGCTCGACTGGGCGGCTTAGGTGGCGGACTCACCATTCTCCTGCCCATTTTCCTCTGTATCGGTAGAATAGTTGTTGGTAGCTAAATTGATACGAATCTATAATGTATAACCTTTCCTGCCTCTCTGAGGTGGAGTCAAATCACGTGAAACCCAGTACAACTTTCTTTAAACATTAAGATTACAGTAATAAGCTATTCGCTTATGTTCGATCTGATTCGATGCAGTGTGGACGATTTGTGCGTATATACTGTATATACATTCTAAGTTCTCGTTAGGAAGGGTTATACATTTGTCTCGGAACCACCTGCCAGTGCCAAGCTAGCTAATGTCAAGCAAAATATATTTTACGCCTAAATCACGCAGTTCCGTCTGACTACGCGATGATACCAATCGATCGACGATATATGTGATGTTAGGCGTGACGTGACATCTTCAAACCATTAGTAAAAAGAAATTACGTTGAATGAGCCACTGCTCTAAGTGTATGAACTTTATACGTCCCATTATAATAGATTTGCATTCTACAGTTGTTAGTTTATCTTTAATGTTTTTCCGTTACACTAACACAACTTACTTTTCATAACTTTGTGACAAATGTGAAAAATCTAGAAAATGTTTCAACTTTTACGTATTTATATGAATAGCTTAAAAATGTTTAAGTAATGCAAACGCAACGGTTGGTTCGATATTGTATCGCTTGCACAACCATTCTAATTGGTTGCTATATATGATTGCAGGTTTTTTTGCGTTTATTATCCCGTTTTTTGCTATTCTGTTTCTCGGTGCTGGTGGCGGTCAGGGATGGGGAGGTGCAGCAGGATTGTATCCAGCTGGACGGAAGGTCGCCGATATGTTCGTGCCGGGTTTGCCACTGACGAATGAACAGCTAGTGCAAGCAATGACATTCCTTGATAAAGCTTTCATCGAATTTGGTTCAAAGGTTAATATGCTAGGTCTTTAGGATATTAAGATTTCGTTTGCGGTACAAGACTAATATAGTTGTAAAATGATTAAATACGATCGGAATTGCGTTCGAAGCACTTGGTATTGGAAATCAATAGTGAAATGAATTGGTTTCTCTTCTCCAGGTGCTTACATCTTCGCTGAAGCCTGCTAGCAGCGCTAAAGCCCGCGGTACTATGAAGAAGAAGTCTGGTAATATCCAGCCGAAGTTTGCTGATAACAGCTTGCAGGGCTTTGATCGGGGGCAAGTATCACCCCCAGCACATTATTCCACGACGACTTCGTCAACCTCTACAGGTACTCGGCCGGAAATGCGTACAGTTGAATAGGCTATTCCAAAATACGATGTCGCCTGCCTCTGAAAACTTTTTATTTTCGTTCATGCACTAGAGTAAATCAAATCACTATGCTCTGCATATCCGCCTTCGCATCCTTGAACGGCAAAAACAGCGTTACAATGTGAAATTTTACAGAATGAAACATAAGCGAGTACATTAAAATAAACATCATTTTCCGTGCTATTACGCATATTTACTCACTCTTTATGCTCTTCACGCATATTTACTAGCTACTAGTACCAAAACGGTAGAAGCAATTACTGTATAATATATAACGTATTGTCGTTATAAGGAGGGAATCCCAACCAGAGTAAGGTAGCGGGAAAGTCGCTGTAACAGCTCCTCGACTGTTGATCGTACCAGAAGGAACTACCTAACGCGGATTAGAGGCAGCTATACATAAAAAGAAAATACGGCAAACGCCTCTTTACGTCTGAATAGAAAAAAGTGGCTTACTCAACAAACAGTCGACCGGATGACAGCAGCATAAAAACAGCCGACAGAGAAGTAAATGCTTGGAAACAGTACACAAGAGAGCATAGGCTGAAAAGTTCTTAGCCATGTTTGCCCAAAAAAGAATAAAGGCTACAACTATATCAACAAATAGGTGTGGAAATGCGAAAATCGTTTAATGGCTGCTCAAAAAATGCTGATACTATGGTTAACAATAAACAGAAATACGAGCAATAAAATGTTTTCAATTTGGCCGCGTTTCTAGGAGGAAAAGTTGCCCCCCTAAAAACGCGTAGGGCCTTGGCTAACTTCTGTCAATTTCTTTCTGAACTCGTTATATTGATATTGCTTTGAACTGAAGTGTTCTTGATTTTTATACAAAACGTGCAGCGATGAGGAGATCCAAACAGTTGTTCAAAAGTGTTATTCGTTAAGGGTTTTTTAGGTAGCTTTCAAATCCAGATAACAAAATAAGCGCAACTTTTCATATAAAAATATCTGCTCGCTTAGTGGTTGATGATCGCAGAAATCGGTGACTGATCATAATCATCAATCTTTGCGACGTACTTCCATCAATAATAACACAATAGTACGATATAGAGTAAATTAGAAGGAGGATGGTTGCTACTTTGGCAACATTAACATTTATATCCATTAACATTTCAAACGAGTTTTGATTTTACACTGAAAATTCAGTGTAATTTTTTCACTAGTTGAGTATTCACATTATTTGTAGAATCCAGTGATATTTTCATATTTAAGTCCATACAATTAAAGTACAAAGAAGATAACAATCACCCACTTACACGAACTGACCAATACTATATACACCAATACAATATGCTACCATTGCTTAACCTTTTTGACTTGTCTTGATTGTTTTATATTAGGTTTAGGCATATTAACTTACTACTGTACTTAACTAAGAAAGAGAAACAGAAGAACAAGAAAGTCTACGCTTTAGTTATGTATCTGTTGAGAAATGGACTAAACCACAATCGCCAAATTTGAATTTAAATAAAGTATGGCAATTAATTAAGGTACTTGGATTGTTTTAAGATTCCTCATAAATTTTTTATTGATTGAATATTGCAACATTAGCTCTCTTTTAACCTCGTGGGTCAATAATTTCCCATAATGTTGTACAACTGTACTTTTTTATTACATAGAAATGTCCAACCCTTTCAACAATTGTTTTCGCAAATGAAGATTCGTTAGTTTACAGTTGAACGTAATTTACAGCTCTTTCAACACTATCAATTGAACAGCATCATAAGGTCTTAATCTACTACTCTAATAGTTGAATGAAGTGTTCTCATTAGATCAACATCAGCTAACTGATACACTGTTTTCCTTAAACCTTAAATGATCTCCGAACAATTTCCGTAACGACTGCCAGAGGGTATATATATATGTATAAGCCAACCTACCTCATATATATATAGTCGTCGATAACATTTTTGTTTTATATGTACTCGAAGTAACATTGGCCCATGCAGTACCTAACTCATATAATGCAACCCAATGTGATGACACCGTTTTGAGATAGGTAAGACTACCGCGGAACGATAAGCTAGTTATTTAGCTTGTTTATTGGTTAATAAAAAATCAATGAAACCGATCTTTTCGTAGTTGTCTCGTACATCCCAATCTTTTTCACGACAGAATTCAGTAACACGAATCGCACCTAATTTCTAACCCGTGAACATATCCAGAATTTTTAAAAATTAATAGTATTGATCTTTCATACCAACTTGCGTTGCTGCAACAAAATGAGATAGCTAATATAAGCCCTGTCATAGTATATATTTCGTTTTCGCTCGCTTTCAATCTCGCCGTCCATCCGAATTTCATATAAAGCCCTACGCACACCAAAGATTTTGCATGAACATAGCAATATTCTTTCCGTTCACAATGCAGTAATGAAGCAAAAAGTGAGTGTTTACACTCAAAAACGTGAAGGCACTTGCGATACGGGCAGTATATATACATTTATATATACGTCGATCGTAAAGAGCAAAGTTTGATGGGCTGTTTGTCGTCGCGTACATGCACTCATCTGCTATTTGTAATATCAGCCAGTTTTTTTTAGAACAAAACAACGCAGTTGTGATGGTGAAAAATAATACGGTATTTTCAAAATTCAACGAAGATTACCTATTATGCAATGTTTTTATACGACACGCGCCTCTCACTAACATTAAAAGCTTATTTTTCCCCGAAATCGACGGTCGACCGTTTTTAAGCCTAAAGCAATTATTTTTTATATTTTAAATAATATTACTAATATGCGCTATTTCGATCTATGACCTTATATAATTTTTCAGGGGACACCGCAACCCTAACTAAATTGACACTATCAAAAGATATAACAAGAACCGAAATAGATTATAATCTGACAGTGCAAGATCCGAACTACACGGCGAATCCATTAACATATCTTATCCAAGTTCTATTAGTCTTTACCAGGTACGTAAGCATGTATGTGTCTGGCAACCTTTTGGTAAAAAGCAATGCCATTCCTGTCTGGTGACTGCGGTCGACTTTTCATTGAATTATTTGTTGCAGTCTCTTTAGTTGTTGACAATAAAGGTCTGAATCAACCGTTTTTCCAGGTGCCAGTAACGCATAACCTCCGATGGTAGAGCGCACACTATTGTGTAACCTGTTGTAAGTTATTTTTCGTATATTCTTGCGAAATCCAGACATCGACATGACAAGATTTATTGGAAGATGTTTAGGACTGCTTGGTGGTATATGTCCTTGGCATCGTCATGACTGCTCACAGATGGGTCAACTTTGACAACACACATTCGTAGTTAGTCGACCACTATGGGGAATATCTTTCTTTGAGTTTTGTTTAACATTGTATGTACATTAAAGCACACTTACATTGATTCATATATTATTGATTTATCTGGTTCTATGGAGAGCATATCACTGAATTTTATTGTAACGAAAATTCGTAGAAATGTATTAAAACGCTGAATATTCGGATGAAACAGTGTTTATTATCATTTATCATAAGCAGGTTAAGATTGCTAGAATGAGATTTTGGTTATTAACGACCCTTATTGTTACATGTTTTGAGCTCTAACACACGTATGTTAAATAGTGTAGCTAGAGATTTCACGTTGGATATGCTGTATTTTAGATTGGTGATTTTAAATAACCTTACTGGGGCTGCAACAAAAAAAAGATTTGAAATCATGTTAGACATTTGTGATAAGAAAAAAAAATCTGAATCAATATATACCTGTAAACAAAGTACTAGTAAAAATTAGGATTTACTCTAAGTGTTCATTGTTACAATGTTTCAAGTAACCTGAAATAATCGAAGACGTAATACTGAATAGAATCAACTCTAAGTCAAACCTATATCAAGAGTACGACGAAATAGGTATCCAGATTTCCGGAAGGTTAAAACATGTAGGGGCTGTCAATATTCTTTTCAGCTGAGCAAATTACAGTAGCAAACTCGATAAGTAATACTTTTTCATGGAGAGTCGCTAGGCAATCATTTAGCTTACGGTAAAGCCTTCGATTGTGCACTAGATAGCTGGTTAGAACTTGGCTATACAAGTATGGTTTCGTTCAAGTGCAAGGAAATTTAATAATTAGGTAAAAAGAAACAATAATTTTCTGACGACTGGATAAGGATAACATAAAAAGCATTTTGAATTGGCTAGAAAGGTCTAATTAAGTAGTTCTGATATATGTGTACAGCATATTGAATAGAACGAAGAACTACTTGTTCTTCAAATAACGCCGAAATCTGGCCGCTTAAGAAATTTCGGAACTCTTCCTTAGAGAGGTTGGTGCTCGGAAGTCGACAATCTTTCACTATAAAAGAATACTAAACATTTATAAATCTGCTACTCTAGGCTAGTTTCGCACAGTTTGGAAGAGACGAATTTAGGTTATTTATATGAACAAGTAGGAGCACGAAAAAATAAAAAGGTATACGAGTTTACATATACACTGAACTTTGTGTATTCGATCTACTACAAATGTTTATCACTATTACATAATGAATGGGTGTGGATTTATTACGGAGCTAGGTCCGTCGAATTAGTATACTAAGACTGACTTCGGCTAAATATAATTCATGACTCAATCAGCCCTAAAAATCATACGGCCTTAAAGACTTCAATGACCGTACTGCAAGAACAAACTCCATTAGCGACAGGTAACCAGCTTTCCTGACCTGATACATACTAAGGACAAAAACCGGTAACAACAGAGGCGTAAAATAACAATAGGAAGCGGCTGCGTACTTTCAACTATCCAGGAAATACAGTTGCGATATAGAACATGAGTACACATCAGGGTGCTTTCTAGCAAATATCGTGGTTTTCGAGATGAGTTCGCGCTTTAAAGAAGCATTCGAGTACCTGCTACTGTAGTACGATAGAATGTTTTTTAGCCTCAAAAGTGAAGAGACAAAGAAGAGTTGTCATAAATGCCAAGCTGGAAATTGTCTGAAATTTCTGCATGTGTGTGCGTGGAAAAGGAAACGGTGGACCATGTTGACAGGGTAAAAGCAAAGCGGTGCTGGTAGGACAAGGAAAGAAACGTAAACCAGCAAAGATAATGGTCGCACTAGTAGCGTCAAATACAATACCAACTATAAAACATCTTCCGTCTTTTCGCGACCGTTGTCTCCTGGACAGATTCCTAATGACGCGAGAAAATGGAGGCATCTAACGTGCCTTATTTTTTCGGGACCAACCCTTTCATTTCGATGGGCACAGGAACCACGTAACACCGCTCAGGGCACAACTCATCGCGTATGCTAGGTCTCTACCGGTTCTACCCGGCCAAAGCCCATGCGTTCAAGCCAATGACTTTGTAGTAGGTGTTAAGCAACGCTTCAAACGGAATCAGTCTCTCAAACAAACAGATGTAGAACACGCAAAAAACGTTTAGATAGATGACAGGTTCAACGCATATACTACTGATCAAATCCTGAAGTAATAGCATTATGATAGTAGTCGACGAAGCGGCAGAAAAGCCTAAAGAAAACATCGCCTTTTGTCATCAAATTGAGCAATTTAATGCGTCATAAACCAGAGATAAACAATTTTTGAAAATTGAGAACAGTTGGCCGATGCAGAAACAGAAGAACATTGATTTCGTGTGAAAAACGTTGATTAAAACGTTACTCCTGTATTTAGCGCCCTCGGTGTATATGAATTCCAAATAAGAGCTTATTTCGTTACTTCAATTCAGCTGTAGTACGAGCCAGCTGAAGGCCTAATCTTGGCTAAAGGTGGCGCTGTCAACTGCAGACTTAACACAGGTACATGTTTTTTCTTACAGAAATGCATAAAACCAAAAGTGTTTTAGTTGAAACGTTTAACGGTTAATAACACTCTTAGTTTTAGAAAATATAAAACAATCTGCTGAGTTTAGCGATTGGTGAACAATAAGGTGAAAGGATGAAATAAGGGGAATAAGCAACTATTTTCATTTCTAAATAATTTACTCGCCACTGATAAATAATAACAAGTTTATGTTTTGAACAGATTAGCAGGACACCTAGTATCTCGTCAAAACTTTATGATATTAGTACGCACTGTCTCAATGAAGATTATCAATCAATTCAAGAGGGACTAAAAACAAAACCTTGAGAGAATTTTCTGATAGCTTTTTGACACTTATCAATTACATATCGTTATAACTCTATTTGTTTAGAATCTGCTAGAAGCAGTCTCCTTGTAGTACTGAGAATAGAGTTGAAGATGCTTTCGGCACAATAAAATAAAAATATTCAAAATTATTAACATTGTAGAGTCTATTACAAAATAAGGCTTGCTCAAATATTCGAGTTTGATTTGAGCTCTGTTACAATCATAATTATTATTAGTATTATTATGATTATTACCACGGGTCCGTTGAGTATCAAACACGGAAACCTCTTTTACAGACAGAATTCTAATCAATGATCTAGTGATAGGTAATCTAAAAAAGCAGTTTAATAGTGATCTTTGAGTTGCTCCGTAAGTAGTTAGCGATGTTTTGATTTTGGTCTTTATGTAAAATAGTAGAAATAGGCCAGCTGTTGTTTTCGGCTTGAAATATGCGAGGACTTATGCTCTTAGAATATGAAACAGGTGCTTTATAAACAACGACGCGGTTTTGTTAGTGTATAACATTTAGAGTATGGAAAGATAATAATAATAATAATGAGATATACAATGACAAGTTGTTATTGATTTTGAGAACTCATACGTTCAAAAAGGAGACCACTGTTGTTAGTTGTTATTACCATAGTGTTTGGCTGGCACTGACGAGCGAAAGTACCATCATCGAGGAGAACAGGGTCGTGTGTAACGATATTTTTAAGATACACGTGCGTTGCGTGCAAGACTATGCCACTATGTCAGACTAGCTTATGTGATTTTTCTGAAAATAGTAGCCATTGTATAATAACTCTTTCAATCGAACCCTTAGCGTTGTGCATGACGCCAATTGTTCTTCATTTAATAACTCCACCAAGCCGATGCCAAGCATCATAGATTCGCGCATTTACTGACACATTCTAAGAATGAAGAGGTAATGGGGGAGAGAGTAGAGCCGAAAGACGTCGGACAGATCTATAATCGTTTGTACGTCTATCCAAATATTTTTGTCGGTATTAATATTATAGGTAAAACTCTGCGGAAGAATATTTTTTTAAACACATTGCATTGGCTGTGAGTGACGTGCTTGTTGCGAAGATTTTCTTTTAGATGAAGAGCTTGGCATTAGAATCTATCTTTCGTTATACGACTCCATATGATGTCCTAGATGCCCTTAAATGAACTGACTAAAAGTAACAGTAAAGTTAATGCCCTGTTACATTTGGCAACAATGGACGAATATCAACGTCATTAACTCTCTTTTCCACGACGAGCCTTCCAATCTACTATTTACTGCAAGAGACTTTTAAAAGCCGTAATAGCTTAGGAGAAGCTGCGAATACACAAGGTTTGCCAACAGAATAGTTAGCTAGATAACCAAGGAAAGCGCCCTGCCGTTGTCAAACAGGATACGTATAAAAGATCATTCGCCGCGAGAATGCTTACATTATATTATAATTGCCTTATAAATGGTATAATTATAGTACGTATCCTATAATGAGAGCAGTGTATTACCGCATGTCACATATCGAGGTAATATTTGTACACGAATAAAAGATATAGTATCAATAATTCATTTACAATATTATTGGCAACATCGTTTCATTTATATCCATATTATATGTGCTATATGCGATGCTGCCTATGCGTAAAAGATGCAGTTGTACAAAAAAGTTTTGCTTTCAAGGGAATTCACATATACTTAGGGATTTAACAATACACAAATTGCATTATTTGGACTTGTTTTATGGTATTTACGTATCAAGAGATTTCTATAAATCAACGTAAGTACCAAAACGAAGAGTATTAACAAACAATTTCCAATATATACGTCAGAATGGTTAATTTATGATGGCTCGGGACAAAGTCTGTGTTCAACAATAATTCGACTCTTTAAATAATTGGTTCATCTTTATCTTCTAAGTTGAGGAATCGCACGTCTATGTGGTATTCACACACGAGCTGAGTGAATTGGCTTCCGCTACACCCACGTTTAAGAGGCTTGATGCACTGCATGATCACAGTGGCGGTCGGATCGACAGAATAACGTGCATAATCTCTGAAGGCGAAACGTGTAGATGATGCTATTAGAAGGATTTTAAAGAGTTTAGCTGAGTGCAGGATCCATTGCGTGGTCACATAATTTACCGCCGTTCACGACTACAAGCTGTCGTGCCTAAAATAATAATTCAATAATGCACAAAGACTTGTTTACACTTTTCTTTAAGAATTTTATTGTAAAAATTTCTTTATTTCTCTTGTAAAAATCACTATTATCTTTGCGTTTATTAATCAACTTAATAACTAATTCTACTTTCTGAATAGAGCTCCATACAGAACTACTAAGCATCGTATGACTATCTCGGAGAATATGAACATTTTCGAATATTTTCTCATATTGCTTCGATTTTGTTCGTCACACCTTATCTCTAAGTGTCAGTCTCACAGCTTGTCTCGTTCAGTGAATGATGATTTGTTTGATCGTTACCATTTTTATGGTCAGCTGTAATCTTGTGCGAGGTACACAAGCAACAAGTCATGGCCATCCCGTACCCTCGTTATCTTCGTGAAAATGGCGGATAATCGTATACCACGCACCTTCAAAAGTCTGATATTGGGCATTTTTATTTCTCATCCTAGAAACGCTTATTATCTTCTTCTCAATAAAAACAGATCAGATGATTAATTACCCGTTACTTAAATATAATATTAAGCGTAGTAAAAAAAAGTCACTAATTTAAAAGCGGAAATTTTTGCCCCGCTTTATATAGTTATAAAATAGTCTATAATAGACTTATTTCTAGGGGATAGTATATATGCACCTGTCCTTGGGCAATGACTTAATACAAAGTGATCGTTAATTCGAATCATAACGGTGTTTGCTTTCTGTCTGCCTAATTAACTTTAGTTCACAAGCTCTAATTTATGAACACTTCTTCGTACACGACCTGGCTGCATAGATCATGTTTGCCGCGCATCTTTCAGCATGATCATATCCCTGTCGTTAGGCCCTCTCCACCTGATGTGACGTTGCCCTCTCCACAGTTAGGGGCTCGGGGCAGGGAAAATCGCGCCTCGGGCTACCAGCATAACAGGCGCAGGCCATCAGCAAACAGCCTCAGCCGACCGAACAATCATATCATAGCTGCACGAACCAAGATGGCTGCCCCCACCACCAGCCCTGCGGCAGTTCAAGCATCAGATTCAGGAGCAGAAACACGGAATCAGAATCGGTCAGATAGGTGGTGCTACTGTTGCTGCATACAGACAAAGCGAGACACAAGCATACGTACACTTAGCGCAACCGGAGACTGCCTTTACAACGGTCATAGGCCCTCTACACACTGACTTCACTAGCCACAACCACTCCACCAAACGTTGGTAGTCTAAACAGGATAATAATAGTGATCTTGGGTTTGCAAATTCATATATTGGGCACATAAGCAGTAGAACGAACCGTCACTAGTATAGTTGGCGATTACGACGTGCATAGTATTCTAGATATTAGAGATTTTGCGAACATTTCAAGTCTTTTAGAGCATTTTGAGCCACTGTACGAGAGCAAGCACAGACGTATTTAGCCAAACCCTGCCACCAGATAGAATGATTTTGAGAAAAGCTGGCTTGGTAAACCTGCTTATTCGATTTACATAATTACCGCAGGCTGTTGGAAAGAGCGATTGTGAAGTGCAGTCGTCCGAGATGCTGTGGTACAAGACGGTGTGATTTTTGCGTTTTGTGTACCCTCAAGAATATAATTTGACATCATCATCGAACACCATATCGTGCACCTGAATGTGAAGTGCTTCGTGATGGCTCGAATTCTAAGTCTGCAATCTGTACGAAAGAAAAATTATTTACACAAGTTACGATCCTGGTTAGTAACTTTTTTGTACCTAATATTAAACAGGCCGTATATAGGTTTTGAATAGCTAGTTTTTCCATGTGTCTTAAAAAACAGCTATATATTCAAAATGACCACACAATTTAGCCTTAGCATGTTCTTTGCTCCATTAGAGTGAAGACATTTATCCTTATTGGTACTATATCTTGCTTTGTCCTAATATAGGTGGATGATAAACTACTGCTCTAACAAAACTGCGTTCCTACTATGAAACAATGCTGTAAGGGATGGTCTTTTGTTGGCTACACCAAGGCATTGCTCCTATTTCTGTTTTCAATAAATTACTAATATTTACTTTAGATAGATAATTTTAAGGAAAAAGTATCTTTCTACACTTTCTGTTACATTGCTAACGAAAAAAAGTTTACCTAAGCTAATACAGCTGATGTTCCTCACGTAAAGTGTACTAATTTGCGTGAGAAAACGTTACATCATAAATTGATATGCATGCCTCTAGTCATGGGCTAAATCTACGCATCCTGACATGATACTAAAAGCTAGACCGGATGATCTGTATGAAGTGCCGCTTAAATTTAAATCGAAAATTTTTAAAACGAAAATTAAAATTTATAAAGACCTACGGCCCATAATATTGTATGGATTTAAGAGACTTTGTGCTTGCGCAGATCAGTGCTACATATCACTCAGTCAGCTTCGAAGTATGAGGGAATCCCTTGTATAACGGGTTAGAGTTCTCTAGTATGCAATACCAGGGTAATTCAGAAGGCTCAACTCACCATCTTAGCTTGGAAGAACGCCGATGTTCATTCACCTGTGGTTTCATGTCACAGTGTTATATCTTAAGATTGAAAACAATGTCAATAACATTGACATATTTCTATATTTTTTGTTTTTGTCGTCACAATGTTTTGTATAATCATTTAGAGTGTGGAAGGGCTTTTATAAATATATACGTGTATGTCCAATGTGCTCAGAATTAGATAATTTTTTTTCATTTTTACAATAAATTTGAATATAGGTTTGTTGCCGAACTAATTAAATTGGCACATTACCTCTTTATTGATTCCTCGAGCGCCCTATATTTAGATGAACCGCAGCCGAGTAGGTGGTTCCGAAAGCAACGTAATGGTTACTTGAAATACAAATACGGAGCTGTCGCGCAAGTGAATTATCAAAAATATGTACATAAACCACATACGGAAATAGACTTTTTCTTGTGCTTCGTCTCTACAATTGTATCCAAGTAGAAACAAATATTTCAATGAAGATGCGCTAAAAGTGTCATTTCTGACGGTCATCTCTGTTCAATATGACTGCCATGAACCGCGATTATGACTTCGATTCGCGACTTGAACGACACAGTAGTCGTTTTCAAATATTCTTTCAGTATCCCGTAAATAACTGCATGTTCACAACAACTGACAAGCATTAACTTGCTAATATCTCTTAAAGACTTAGAAAATATTTAGTTCAGTGACTGAGCGATATTCAAGTTTAGTTTGATAGCGGGCCAGAAGTTCCAAAACTTAGAGATTCAAAAGAGCAATGAAGTCCAAAAGGTGCAAAAAAGCATAAAAAAACTAACCATTGAATATTTTCTGGATGACCCCATGGAGAACTGTTCCCGATATCCAACAATTATTACAATAATCTACTTTTAAAGGGATGAAATAATTCACGTATCGAGGGACTAACCTTATTTGGGTGCAGACACTGTTGTGATCTTTCTAACAATCGTACCCAGAGTATTTCGAGATTATCGTAACTGTATTCATGTTCAGGCATGCCCTCAGTCTTAAAAATCAAATGATGTAACCCGTGTACAGGGTGTCTTTTTATTATACGTATTGATTTGTTCGGTTTACCCCTTCCATCGATCATATAAATCACCGGTCACCGGTATATTTTTTTTTCTCGATTTTTTTCTGATTTTTTGTTTTAACATGTGTGTCTCAGCTTGTGGCAGTACGAATATTAGACAGAGATCTTTGACGAGAAATGGTGGCTCAGCCAGAAAATATATCGTGTGCCGTCTTGTGTAGTCCTAACGCTTGCATTAGAAAATTCAATTCGGTCTGTTGCAAGGTTCGTGAAGCTGAGCTTCTCCGAGATAACAGGACCTCCGCGAGCGACAGGCGCTGCTACCTTTAAATCGGAAAATTCTCCTGGCACTACTAGTGACAGTTATTGGAGTTTTTTTATTAGAACTGTAGGAGGCTATTTGAATCACAATCCGCTGCTGTTCCGAGGTACATGAATGGGAGTGAAGTGGTTCACCGTTTAGTCGAGAGGTGCGTTTTCTAGCGAGTTTTTTTTTGGTCTACACGTCATTTGCCTCTATTTTCGCTTCGTACGTCGATCTCAACCTCAGTTTAACTAAGATAGTTACACAAGCGAAGCAAGGTTACTGAAAACTATGGTCGAACTGCTAAGAATACAATGGGAAAATTTCAACCAGATGATTTTAGTGGAAAAGTAACACCGCGACGGGGTGACGGGCTAAGAATAGGTGCAACGAATTCGAACTTAGGTTTGAGGTGAAATTGGCAAAAGTACCCTTAGTAGTGCGCAGCGTGAGTAGAAAACAGAAGAAACCGCCTTTTAACTACAAATAACTATGAGTAAATCACATGGTGCATTTTATTGCACAGAGATCGAATTGTGCCTCCTAATATTTATGACAGAAAGTATTTAAAAGCAATTGACGCTCAAGTGCATGATCAACAGCGGAAAATAGAGTTAAGGAAAGCTCTAACTTTAGGAGAAAGGAATCAACCTGGTCTAATTAAATAGCGATTGTCATTGGATAATTATCTTGAATTTTTTAAGACATAACCTTTGGTAGAGCAAAGTCAACTGTAGAATGTCATGATCGTTGAAAACTCGTTAAGAGAATAATTTCTGTTAGAACAGTACCTGGCACAGAAATCGTTGTGAGGCTGCCGAAGTCGCTTACTAGCGTTACCCGGCTCTCCGATTGTGACAAAGGCTTTTATTATGCGCGTTTTTTATCATTTGCTGGTGCTTTTAATTATGTTTTCCTTGCCATGCCTTTCCTAAAGCGGATCATTTGTCTAGAGTGGTTAAAACGGATGCCATTAAATCTTCAAAAAACGCGAAAGCCCTACGATACTCAGCAGGAGTGAGGAGTGTGATGTACATAGATCTACTTAGAAAGTCCATGTTCCAAATATTTACAGAAGGCCGTAGAAGCTTCGGTATATTCGTCCATTGCAAAAATATAAAACTGACAATATCCAGATGCCAGTTAAATTTTCGTATACATACACGATAACTTGCAAAAGATTGTCGGCTGGAAATTAAAGAGCTAGCTAGCTAGCTAGCTATGCAGCAGCACTTACATACAGATAACTATGCATAATCCGAAAATTTACATCGTCTTTATGCACTGTTTGTTTAGTTATCCGCTTATGTGATGAGTCATATTTGGTACGATGGCAATTATATGTACGGGCTGCATGAAGCCAAGTAGCTCCGAAGAAAGCTCGGCGCCAACCGCGATATTATTGGAGTCACGTTGTTTTACCTTCCCTATTGAGGAGATGAATTTATGTGAGCACTTATCTGGATCTTCGCGTGAAACGGAAATCCAAGAAAGGTTTTTGATCAATTCATTTTTGGGCTATACGCAGAGCAGATTTGTATAGCATGCGCTTAAGGTCCTTTGAGGTGTCGTTTTAGGTAAGGCCACTAATTCAATGCCCTGTAATATGGACAATGCAGCAAAGTATTTGATAAATATTTAAAAAATAACAAAAGCATTAAAAGTAGTACTACGAACGGGCAGCGGAATGCATCGTTAGTGTAATGCTCAAGTTCTAACTTGAAGCGGACGCTGTAATGATAACAAGATACTTTACTCTTTTAATCATGAAAATAACGAATTCACTAGACATGTACCGATACCTATCTCTTAGGAACAGAACAAAATCAGCACCACTTAGAACCAAAAAGCCATTATCACATATCATATCGTTCGGTATTCGTGCTATCGAGACATATTTATCTATTGCCTTTTATATAATTTATGTTTTCCAATCGATAGTATTGGAGAGTTTATAAATTCGTTAATATTTAATTTGTGCTTGACAGAAGATAAAATCACGTCTCCTGTGTCTGGATCAAAAACAGAAGAGACAGAAAAGAAAGTAGCTTAAGGCAAGAACCCTATAAGTGAAGGAAACAAGTTTTTTCGAAAGAGCTGCGCATCTGTAAAGGTTAAGATGTAATAATCAATTTATTTTTTGGGTGCCTAAAGTACTTTACCGTAACGCATCTAAAAAATTGATATGCATATAAGCTATGCAACACGATCTCATTTTTGTTGGGCAGGATCCACTCTTGTACCATATCTAGTTGCCTTCGATAAACATTATGTCGCTGTTTGCCCAATAAGCCCGTGGATGGTGAGGTATTAAACGTACTTTGAATAACTTTCTCAACCAATTTTCTTCTTATAAAGCTTACATATAGTCAATACTTTATTATAATATTGAGCCATTGACAGCTATGCAAGTGGTCGGTAACTATCAATATTCAACTCAACAGCTTTTCAAAAATAGGTGCAAAGGTAGATTGCCTAAAGAATTTGGATACAATATCGGCTTTGTACGATCTACAAGATAAAAATATATAAAATATTTTAAAATATATAAAAGTTCCGATATTGAAAATCTTACGTTTTTAAAATAAAATATGGGAGTTGTAAAAATGAAGTTTAATCACGCTTATTTGTTTGTCATGAAACTGCTTGATTTTTTTTTTCATCCAAAAACGAACAACGTTGAGCCTGACCTGGGAAAAGGGGAATAGGTGGATGATGCTTCTATGGAAAGTACAAAAATTGCTTATAAGGAAGTTTTAAATTTTTTTGTTTCTTTATAATTAGCGGTTATGCTAATTTTAAATTACTATACTATATTAGCGGTGATTTTGTCATCGGCCTAATCGCTTCCCATTCTCTTCAACGTTCATTTGCATAGTAAAAAAAGATTAAGAATATATAATGGCTCGAGAGCTTATTTTTGTGACGTATCTTGAGTGCTTTTACTTTATTTTTTTTATCCATGACCATACTCAAAAAGTTTGTTACTATGAGGACAAGTGTAGCCTACCTGTCAATGAAACCGCCTACAAGACTCACAATGTTACTGTATATATCGCGGAATAATTTACAAAGATAATGGGCGAAGGCGAGAAGTTCCGCCTTTGGGTTTGCCTTACGTCGTGTTTAGTAATCCGCTTTCCATCCACCGTCATTTCTGTCTGCTGTCATATTTATACCTAGAGCATTTTATATACGAATAATGTTTTCTGATTTGATTAAACCGGTATCAAGATCGATAATAGTTAAATATTCTGTTATGTTCTAGATAGAAGTTAGTGAGAGGTCAATTATAGGGCCGGTTTGATCTTTGCTAAATCTTCAGATTTTCTGCTCGCGAATTGATTATATAAAATCTAGTTAACCCTGCTGGGTTACTATAAAAACATTTGTTATAAACTAGTATAAACACATCAATCTGCAAAAAGAAAAGTTTATTTCTCATTGGAATTTTGAAAATATAGTCGACCAATGGTTTCTGAGGATGTGCGTCAAATGTGACAGATCTTTGCATTAGTATCATTAGCTTTTTCGCTATACTAATTGATTTTTTTTACAAAAATGCGTACAATAACCCCTTCCCTGTAGGTGCGTGCTTACTAGGAACTTCGTATCGACCGTTGCGTATTACGACTTATCGTAGACACTTCCTCCCAAGTATGCCTCCGCTGCTATTACCACGTCAATATTATGTATAAATCTGAAAGCATTCAGTGAATTATAGGAGCTCCTATTGGCAACTAAGCGCATAATTGTAAATATGCATTTTAAAAGCTATTAGAGTTTTGAAAAATTTGGACTAGGTTATTTAGACTTGAACGTTAGGTGAGATAAGGTCACGAGTAATTGGACAACGAAGAGCCATTCTCGTCGCTATATTTCCTCTTTGATAATTGCTTATTTGAAACAGAAAAATATTCATTTTACCGCGAGGTTCTTTCTTGTCCATGACAGTGAGTTTCCTTTTCTCACACAACTATCATAATATATAGTTATGAAGTAGGTTCACGTCTCGCATTAAAATGAAGTGCAAAAAAACCATGAGCAATTAGTATTTCCTTTTTTGCTCAATGTCCACCGATTTCCGTCCGTATTTTAGATCTCAAAGTCATACTCTTACTGCTGATAAAGTGAAGCTACGTCTCAATCTGTTTAAAGAGACTTCCTACGATGACTATCTCACAAACAAGCAACTTAAATTTGCAGAAATAGACGTAAACATTTTAGTGCCGGAGTAATAGAAACTCTCAAAGGACGGCCACGTGGTGACGAAATACACAGTGCACGGTTTTCACCATAAATTATGCACTAGCGTCTTGCACTAGCACTATGAATTTAACTGGCGCGCGGTAGACGTTTCGCTACCTTCGAGCTTACCTTCAGCATCAAGTGCCGGTCCATTGAAAGTAAAGCCCAGTCTGGGTCAATGCGCTGCCCCCTAAGCGGCTTCGTCTTTTACATGTCATAATTTCTCGTTTTCATCTTTATGGTGGTTTTATATTTAATCAACTGAAAACGCAAGCCACACCTCAACTTTCTCTCCTATACGCTACAAAAGTGATCAGCAAATTGCGTTGTGCCCTAGAAGAGAAAACCATCACCGCCCACGTGGTCAAATGTAGGGTTGACCGTAATAATCGAGTATACCTTTAATGAAAGACGGAGCAATCTACGTTCTCGCACGTATGTATCGCTCCAATTACGCTGGCTAGAGTCAAAGTGCACTACTAATACTATACTACTTACGATGTTTCATAGATGGCTGTAACTCATATCGGATGTAGCTTGACGTGAGTGGATTGGGTACTGATTAGTGACCAGTACAGAGCGTTATCGACGGCATCTCAAGTATCGACAAACAGAAAATATCGAGAGCAGATGTGTGAACAGATGTGGTTTAATGCGCCGAAGCTTACCACGAGAAGCTCGTGCCGAAGTATGTGGGAACTCGTGAACTATATTAATAACAACGGATTTTTGTTATATCGGAGGCTCTCAATCCGTTTAATGGCCCAGTGTACGTCCTCTATCGGAATTTTGTTTATTCTGATCGGATTAGCAATAATACTACCAGGAGGACACAGCGCGCCGAAAAGAAAACACCCACATGGAGGAAAGGTAAAAATTAATAGACATGATTCTTGCAACAGATATTTTGTTACAGAGTGAAGGCCAAGTAGGCTTAGGGCTGGCAGCAAATTCGCGGTAAAAATACAAGTAAAAAAAACATGAGCATTTGTTATTAAGGCATTATTTTATTCCATTCGAAATAATAATAATCTTATTATGGTACTATGCACTTGAATGAGATTTCTACAGTCTTAGCAAAAAATTGGCAGAGTTTGTAGTGTACTGAATTTACCACTACTAAAAGCCCTCTCATCGTCTTTTTGTTTATTCTATTCAAGCCTAATATTATTCTGATTGTCACGGACGATCAGGATATCGAACTCGGCTCAATGAATTTCATGCCGCACGTTCGACGTCACCTGGAGCGTGAAGGTGCATATTTTCCTCATGCGTACGTGACTACTCCAATGTGTTGTCCATCACGTAGCAGTCTCCTTACTGGACTTTACGTTCATAATCATAACGTCTATACTAATAATAGAAATTGTAGCTCCCCACAGGTGAGTTCGTCTATTTACAGATCAGGCTATTTTATTAAAGATTTGTTCCTGTTGCTACGACGGATTTGAATAAAACGTTGTATCTACGTTTACAGTACTTCAACTACAACTGCTTAGTGAAATTTAGTGTTTGAAAATTCGGCATTGGATATAGCGTAAAAGATCACGCAACTCACATCTCATAGACCCGCATATTTAAAATTATGATAATTCACTATCCAGTGATGTCATCGGCTTAAATGTGTCCACTTCTTATTTCGAAACTCTTGCAGTTGCTGACGTTCAACCAAATATATGTATATATGTAGGGTGTGTAGAAAATAGCCAACCAAGTTTTTTTTCTGTGTCTATAAACAAGCAAAGGCTGGCATAAATAGATCAGCGTACGCGGTCTGTCACGATGGAAAAAGCTACGATTCGGAGAAGTGTTTATTGTTCGTAAAAACTTTATAAACCTTTTTAGGAGAGCCCATTACATTGGCGCCCTGCATGTTTCATGATAACCTTTAGTTTCAGCAAATGGGAATCTTTCTGCTAACGTTCCCAGCCCAGCGTTAACATGGAGTGCCCGCCCAGATCCTGTAATTTGACCTTTCTCAATTATATATATATAGTCTATAAAAGAATATCTAAAGCAGTTCAGGATTATAAGTATTAAATTTAAGAAGTATTTGGTTAAATTGACGATAACTATTATCGAGCTGTGATCTTAAGTTACGCGAAAAAATTGAGTTATGTAAGCGGTCAGTGGGAGGGCATTTAGTTCACAGTTTTCCATATGTCGTGTAGATTAAACCCCTTCGACTGAGAGTGAAAATAAGCAAAAAAGCACGAATTATGGTGGCTGACAATTTCGTACGTACTTAAAAAAAGATAGCCATTTTTATGATTATATGAAGAAGAGACAAAGAGTGACGTTTGGATCGGCCACCTGTCGAATAGGTTATGACAAATGTTATTGTTAATAATTCAAAAATGTTGTGTTGGCGTAAAGGCAAAAAAGATCGATAATGCGTGCATCTTCCGACCTAACGATACACATTTGACAACGCATAACGATAAAGATAACGTAAATTTTAATCCGGTTTTTAGGTAGATTCTCATTTTGTTATTTAAGGATGTGGTTGAAAAGGGTAACTGTTTTCTCGTTATGACAGTGGCAAAGAGCTTTCGAACCGCGAACATTCGCTGCGGTTTTGCAAAAGTCTGGTTATCAAACGGGCTACTTCGGCAAGTACCTCAACGAATACAATGGCAATCACGTTCCTGTCGGATGGAAGGAATGGTTAGGACTTGTCAGAAATTCAAGGTTCTATAACTACACTGTCAGTGTCAATGGGAATAAGGTTAGTTAATACACGATTTATAAAATATCCGTATTATCAATCTATCAGCGAACCAATCTATCAGTTAGAAGTACGTGTAAGTAAATGTACGTTGGCTTTCTCTACAGATGTGGAAAAATTCTGACTGATCCAAAAGTTATGCCAGTAGAATGTACATATGATTAACATATCATATTATTTTGTATGGAACGTTGCAAAAGGTGAAACATGGTGACTCATATCAGCGAGATTATCTGCCCGACCTTATAACTAATCAGTCACTCTCGTTCCTTCGAAGGTTAGTACATAGGCACCATAACTAATCAGAACTAATAAGAGGTAAATAGATAACAATCAAACTTAATCTAGTCACGAAGGTTCATAAAGGTCACGATGATGATGCCTTTGCTAAAAAAAATAGGCTAATTCTCCCTTTATTGTAGGTCAAAGCAGTTTTATCCGAACAAACCAGTGCTCATGGTGATGGCCTTTCCCGGACCTCACGGACCTGAGGATTCAGCGCCTCAGTACCAACATCTCTTCCTTAATGAAACCAATCATCGAACACCTTCTTGGAATCATGCTCCCAACTATGATAAACAATGGATCCTGCGGCATACGGGCAAGATGCAGAACGTTCATATAAAGTTTACGGATATTCTTAACACAAAACGACTGCAGGTTGGTCAGTGATTTGTCCTGCCAGCGTATTCGAAATTAGAAATAATCCTTAGAATCTATTTTTGTTTGTATGTGGTTATAAGCACGTTTTTTCGCTTGACCTCTTGTAAACACTAAATCGAAAATAGTAAGATACAAACATTAGTCGAACACCTTGTGCTTTCCCGGTAAAACGTACGTATATTATTATTATGTGACTATTATAGAATTCCTTCTTTCAGACCCTACAAACAGTGGACGAGTCTGTAAATCGAGTCATAGAAGAGTTACGTAAGCTCAAGGAATTGGACGACACGTTTATCATATATACGTCTGATCACGGCTATCACCTAGGGCAGTTTGGACTAGTAAAAGGAAAAGCGATGCCGTTCGAATTCGACGTGCGAGTACCTTTCTACGTTCGTGGACCAAAAATCTCTAGAGGTACGCAAACGAATGGACGCTGTTTTCAGTTGTTCCTAACTAAGAATCTTATAGCTGCGCTCGCAGCTTATAGCTGCGCTGATCAGCTGTTCAAAGTCAGTTTTTTAAAAAAGAAAAGTATTTTTTAAGAAAAGATCCCACATATCGCTTATGCACCTATCTATCAGATTTGTAACTATACTGTATTATACAGTAGATACCTACAATCTCTCAGTTGCGACTCCGTAAGCCGTAGCAACGAGTTAGAAACAACATTGGCAAAGATGATATTGGGAGGGGAATGAACGTGCGATCTCGACCATTTTTCTAATTGATTCATAGAAGAAACATACCGAATACGTATTAATCTGGTTCATCTGAATACGTTCGCAGGTATTCAAGTTCCAGAACTAATCGCTAACATTGATATCGCACCGACACTTCTAGAGATCGCAGGCGTCCCGGCCGACGTGTCCATGGATGGCAAGTCAATTCTGCCGCTGCTCATGCAGAAGATGGGGCGACGAGTAACCACCTGGAGGGATTCTCTCCTAATTGAAAAGGGGAAAATCAGCTCTCGGGAGCGCGAGTCATTTTCATTGCGGTCAGTCGAGAGTGCAGGCTTTAACAACAGTGAAGCCAGTTCAAATTCATGGACTGCTATAGATTCCGCCAAACCCTTGCCTATCATCCGGTGCTACCCTGACGGTAAGTTCCCTTCCCCGTGCAGACCTGGACAGAGATTCGAATGCGTCCGACGGACCGGTTTGGGTGCGGCCGACGAACAGCAGTGGACGCTACTTCGATGTGGTCGCCTCAATAGGAGCCGCAAACAACGCTGTCGCTGCAAAAGCAACGGTCGCAACCATAAGAATTTCTCGATTGAAGGCGGCGGCCGAAATAAATTTATTATGGATGACGATCTCCGTCGCTTCCGTAGTGGTAGTGATAGTAGTCGTAGCATTAACTTTCGGCGAGCGGTGGCCACATACCGTCGTCAGTTGTCACGAAACCGTAGGGAGTACCTAATGCAGCGGATGTCGTTGATTCATGGCCCCCCAAGTGCCAGGCTGGGTTTCAGTGGCGAAATTCTCGAGGACGAAACACTGTTAGGCACTACCGGCGATGGCACCAAGGAGCTGGTAAACTGTGTAAAGTTCTCGAACAATCAATCGGTCATCTGCCTCGGAAGTAACGACGAAGCTTACAGAGATCCGCGCCTATGGGAGCAAAAAAAGGAACGCGTTGACGTCCTGATAAATAGGTTTCGCCAAAAACTCAACCAACTCAAGGGGCTACGGACAACGCTCCGACGCTATCGGCCCCCGGGCGTCAAAGGATCATCATCGGGAGCCAGCAGCAGCAGTCAAAGACATGTCAATCCATCGGACAATTATAATAATCATAATACCAAGAACGGCGGTACCGGCCAAGTCTATAACGCAGACGTCGACGATTTTGATTTGGACGATTTGGATAATACTAATGGGAGGTGTTTTTGTCGAGATCGTTCAAAAAAGAAAAGGCAACGAAAAAAAGATAAATTTGCCAATACATCATGCAGTGCGATCGGTCAAGACATTGATAAGATGAATTGCTTCAGCCATGATAATGACCATTGGAAGGTGTGTACTACCTATTTAACTTTATCGCGTAAAACAACGAAGCAGAAAAACATATTCTGAGCAACTTGATTAGACGCTCCTACGGAGCACCCATTCACGCACGAATCTTCTCCAGGGATATAAACATATTTCATCCTTCTCTAAAGATTGCTGGGTGTATTTTATTAGATAACATCATTAAAAGATGTATTCAACCGTTGGTCGTTATCCATTGATTTTTCAGACACCCCCGCTGTGGACAGATGGTCCTTTCTGTTTTTGTCAAAATGCCAACAACAACACATTCTGGTGCGTGCGGACAGTAAATCGAACGCACAATTTCCTCTACTGCGAGTTCATCACCGGATTCGCCAGCTTCTATGATTTACGTACTGATCCCTATCAATTACGGAATACTATCGACCAAGTTCCCCGTCGTGATCTAGAGCAAATGCGTACGTCTTTAAAACGTCTTAGGAGGTAATTCTATTATCTTCATTTCATTCATCTCAGTATTTCGACCAAGATAACATTGTCGTACCCATAGATGTACATCGACCTTCGGTAATCACAACTAAGCTACTAATGAGTGAATTGTTTATTACAGGTGTAACGGTGCTAGAGAGTGCACCGTACGATATCGGCCACCAAAAACTGCGCAGTCGATACACAACGCTGATTCATATTCCGATGTATCACTGCCCAGAAGTTACACTGGACTACGAGGTCCCCATTACCCTTCGTATCATCATTCTGCGCCGTACCTCAATATCAAAAACAATTCCGCCAATAACAACCCAAACGGCAGTGCTTACAATATCACCATAACTACTTGGGATAATCTGCTTCGAAGAAACATTAATAGCTTTTCCCACGAACAACAGGACGACACCAAAAATTACCACCATCGCCGTCCTAACCGTGATGACAATAAAAACCTTGCTGATTATAATTATTATACTGGCAACAACAACGACGACGACGACGACGATGACGACGACGACGACAGCAACAACAACAACAATAACAACAGCAGCAGCAGCGACAACGAAAGTAATGACGCTGGCGGCAGCGATGTGGAAAATGGAGCGTGACGATGGCGCGACCTAAAGGTTACTAGTGAGAGTAGTTTCACAAACAGGCACCGTCGTTATCGACGCGACCCTCGTTCTTCCGTTCAAATTACATCCAAATATATATAGTAGCTTAATACTCAGCCGTCGCAAGAAACAGCGGTGAGATCAGCTGCTGCCAGTTTGAACGCCATCCAGCCAAATTAGTCAGACATCGTCTATTTCGCGTAGCGCCTTCAACGGAACGCGAGTACTAATCTATCATCGTTATAATGCGCTAGTAATCGAAGGTCCGACGTAAATTTTTAACGCCAAATAATCAAACTGCGTATCAATCGGCACGATTCATTCAAAGTAGTGCAAAGTGGCATTCACGTAGTTTTGAAAAAGCGCGCTCAACCAAATATTACACAGTCATATTACTGTAATACTGCCTCAGTAGAGAGGCCGCATTCAGGGCGAATTAAGTGGTAAAAAGAATTGATTCGTACAACGATCTTCAGTGGAAACACGCGAGTGATACCACACACAAACATCAGCACAGCAGTAGAAAATTAGAAAATGGAAACTCGATCTTGGCATAGTCGTGTACTAACGTTTATCCACCTTGATGTCAACGACCTATACCCTCATATTCACAGGTATATGATATACTCGCGTTCAAATGCACGTTAGATGTAAATGGACCCCTTGTGATCGCTTTTAACATGTAGATAATGTTCATTGTTTCATTGGAACAACACATAAAATGAAAAAAAAAAACTAAAATCAATGATCCCAGTTGGGAAAGTACACGGTACAGAGATATAGACATAGTCCTACACAGAGGTACGTTGCAAGCCTTATTCAATTCAAGTGTTACACAGAGGTACGTTGCAAGCCTTATTCAATTCAAGTGTATACGATGTATATTACAGTGTAAATTTAGGAATTTAGATTTAAAAAAATAGCTTTTTTTTTTAATTTTAGATTAGCTACTTTTCTCTCAATAAATCACTACTGGATATTTCGGAACATAATGGTATTGTAAAATGCAGTTGTATACGGACACAATAGATATATCCGCATGTTTTAGAAAAGCATCATTTTGTCTGTGATTAATTACGCTGTTCTGTTCGATGTCGTTTGCCATAATAACCGTTAGTAAGGTGTGTATGTGTGTGTGTGTGGTGTTTTTGTGTGTGTGTATGATATATCAAAATAGCCCACTCAAAATAGCAAGAAAAGCCGCGCCCAGCCAGATATAAAATCATAGTCACAGTACTTTATTGTTAGTACTCCGTAATTGAGCGTGCATTGACCCGTTCGTTTATTATTAATTACTTAGAATTGTTTACAAAGGCTCTTCTTATTTAAGACACATGCCTGTTCTAATATTTGTTTATACGTACATAATTGAAAAATATTTTTCCCAAAAATGTTAAAATTGTCCGTACTCTGATTCAGCGTACATGTATGGAGGCTGAGTTTATTCAGCTATGCTAATTATTGTGCATATAAATAAAACATTATGTTTAATACAGTGATCTCTTTGTAGTATAAGCTTTAATATAAGCTTCAAGAAAACTTACGTTTTCTTGAAAGAATCTTACGAAGTAAATTCATTCTGATTTTAAATTTAATTAAACAGTGCAATTCGGTTACGCAGCTAATTGTACAATTTAATATATATGTACTGTACATATAGTAGGTACAGCGTCGTCGCGAAGACAATAAACAATAATAACTCTGAAAGTGCGACAATCTTTTTACTTTTTATTATTAAACCATCTAGTCTAAAATGTTACAAAATCCTACGTTAATAGTAGACAGCAAGCGACATCGGGTCTAGATGGGATATATTTATGTATTAAAAAAGTTTCGAATTTGATACCTCTTGTTTGATACAAATGAATCGAAAAGAGGAGTGCCACTTTAAATGTGTCTGTCTACGCATAGGCTCTTCTCGTTGGTGTAGACATCGGTGTCGTTGGAACACGCATGCATGTACAAAATATAGCTTCTTTAACGGCTGATCTAACATGGCTAAATTAGACAGTCTTCTGGAGGAATCTCTCGCTTTTCTGCTGTGCAGGCAGAGGCCGAGGGCCTCCGGACACCTGCCACGAAGAAGTTGGGACCTATAAATGCGTAAGCCGAGGCAGGAAACGCAAACGAAGGTTCACCTTATCCTAGCGTGCGTCTTTCTTGTTACAAGGTCAGTGTTGAAATACTAATTGAATTAGGTCTGGAGTTCACTGCCATATGGTAGAAGCATACGAGAGTAGCTCGTTCAACCTGAAGTTGTCCGATATCAGATGTAATCACCATCAGTCCTGAAAGAAAGACCAACAGTAAATATTTTCGCTGCCTGCTACTTCGGTGTCGGTCCATATCCGCAGACACTGCGATGCTGTTGTTATATTTGGCATCGCCATTGTCGTCCTCTGAGCGTTCTCTTGAATTTAGACAAAATTAACAAAAAAAAAAGAAAAGGAGAATACGAGCAAATGTAACGCGTATCAATGTACACAGTAAAGTGGTCCCATATGTCGCTGTTAATCAACCTGAAGCCTTTTTTATCAGGTGTGAATTGTGACTTTGAACGGCGATGTGGATCGTGACGGGCTATAAAATTTGCGAAAGACAAAAGGTGTCCATCGTTTTGCAGAATAATGGAACTTAATTAAACGTTTCTTGGATATATCAGATATTTGTTGATTCATTGATTGGAAAACATCGTAAAGGTTTTGGAAAGTATCGGAAAGTGGGGTAGCCGTCCTCCCCCCTCAGGGGGATTTAGCTTGACTATATCAAAAGATCGAGCAGTGTTACCTTGATGGCAGAATGCAACGTATCCGTTCTACAACTTGACATATGTGCAGCGTTGACAAATTGTTGCTTAGTGCGGAAATTATGACGCTGTAATACATACAACATTTTAACAGTCTTATTAGTGTCATCTAGATATTATGAAACTGAATAGTAAACAGCACTCTACATGTGTACTAGTATAAAGACAAACCACTTGAGTTAACTTCGTAACACTTGTCCTGGTCTGAAGATGGACGGCAAAACATGATGTGTTCAAGGCGCAGTCGACAAAATATGGACATGTCCGAACTAAAGGTTGACGTTGGGTTCAAACAGATCGATATTCTACCGTTTATCGCTATCGGAAACACGCTGACTATTCTCAGAATGATTGCGCAAGTTCTAGAGGACGTTCCGCTCAGGTTATGATCGAAATGAATGATTCTCAAATGCCTCTTTGAAAGAAAAAATCGACACCATAATATGGTCGAACATGACTAGCGTTGCTACTGCAACCAAAACGTTAACGATGAGTGTAAGCGAGATTGGCCGAGTGCGATAAAGAAAGGTCAAGATCGTAACATTTAGTGATGATCTCTCTAGAGAGTACCCCCAAGTAGAGCTCAGCCGTATGCTCGACAAGGTCATCTCAAGAAAATTGACCCGGAATTTTTTGCCACTAATCTTATGGTCGACGGGAAGAAACCATACAGGAAGAACGGGTTGTCCGCTACGCTGTGCATGACGTTCACCATCTGGGGTGTAGTGAGCCACTGTGCCATGAGGTACACGAAGTTGTTTGATGAGGAGGCCCCTGTGAGCGACACCACGTAAACGCATTTTCAAACACGCCTTGCTTAACTAGTGAAGCGCAGGGAAGAAGAGCGGAATTGTAGCGTCCTGTGCTATGTACTTTTATTAAAAGCTTATATCTTTATGTTGTCAAGATGCCTGACAGAAATGAAAATACACAAATGTTAATATTACAGAGATGACGCACATATACGATTTATTTATTCTAGTTCCTCTTTATATAGCAAGAAGGGAATAGTATATTATAGCAATCGGTGGCGCGAGATATGTGTATTTTTTAACACACAGCCCAGGAGAATCCACGTTCTGAGTTAGTTTTCCTTACAAAATGCCAAACCGTTAGGCCTACCTACCTACCTACCTGAATACTAGAAAAGGTTTGCTACGGCTAGATTCTTATGGCGATCATCTACATCATACTCATACCGTCCTTGGAACATTGCGGCTCTTAACTTGTTCGCTCGAACCGAATGTCTATCCTCTGCTGAGTACCCCGATGAGCCTTGGGCGTACGTACTTCGAAATTTTCTGCGGCCGACCGCTATTCTCACAAAGTCTTTAGATGGAGATAAACGAAAGGGGAGAATGCGCGTTTAGGGGTGTTGTGAATAACATCAAAGGCAACGCCACAGTTAAGTACTTTACGAATTCGTCACACAAACACGATCTTTTTCTGAATGCCTTTCAGTAACGTTTTACACTTAAGCGGAAGCCTGATACACTGCGGTAGAAACGTAATTTCCCACGTGAGGTGTTTATTTTTGTAGAAACCGCTCGAGTAAATGAGCCTCGAACTTACATTGCCTTGCCACCCGTAGCGAAACCTAACTTGAACTTAGCAGAAGTCTAGGAACGATCCCGAACATACACTTATACGACTGGTCGTAGATACCTGCTGCTGACTCGAGAGCCCCTATCGATCGCTCAGGCCTCGAGTTGTTAAAGAAATGGTAGCTTCTACAGCAGCACGACTTTTTCCATACTTCGTCAAACATTCCATCACAGACCTGCAGCATGAGCGACCACTCCATCCACCCCTGGTTTGATTAGTCTTTTGACAACTCGGGCTTCACTACCTTGTCATTGCCGCATTACTTCTAAGACACGCTTTACACCTCGTTCGAAATACCAAGAGCTTTCTTTGTACATTATTCGTACACGCCATAACTCAGCATAGGAAGCTATTCTTTGTTCTGATGTATACTATATCGGTATACATGAACGGACTGATTTAAATACATAGTATTATAATAAATATATATATAAATGCACCGAATATAGAATTCGAATCTTATATATTTTATCTCCATCCTAACGAAGAAGTGTTTTCCATTAGCGTCCTTTAGTGCGCGTATGGTGTTCTTTAAAACACATCTCATATGGATTAGAGGTAACTTGAGGAAAGAAACTCCATATATCTGTGGGTTGATGAATGCTGATCCACCAGGAAAACTTCGCACTTCTCTCAGCAGAAGAAATTGCCACACTTTCATTACCCTATAAATTTTCGCCCCTATTCGCACATTGAATGTTTGAGTTTTGTGTCCTGTACATAGGCCATTAGGCATCGCTTCAGACGACTGGCTTTGAGCGTGTGACGAAGTGAGTTTATGCTTGGATTCGAACCTGGATGACCATCACGTGTAAATCAGCGCTTTATATTGCGCTAAAATGTTTGCCTAATATTACCGTCTTCATTATTGTTACACACCACGCCTCACTATTTCGCCTTTTCGTACTTTAAACAAATGTGTGATTTTATGTGCGTTTAAAAGTTTTTGTATGAACAGCGTATTTGTGTGTGTGGCAGAGTTTCATTCTAGTAGGCCTTTAAGTTTAAAGTCGAGGTTATACAAGATATATAAAATAACGTAATATCGATTGTGCTGTGAATGAACTAATACATGGAGGTCATCCCATTCACTTTGGGACGATTAAAAAATTTTGGCACTACCTCTACTTAAACTCACCAAATAAATGAAACACAATGCGGATTACATAGTTCTTGAATAGTCACACGGGCCTGAAATAAGGCATGGTGATATAAAATTAGTAGCCGTTTTTGTCCGCAGGTACGATATTCACACGCTGAGACCTGATTGCAACTGGCTATGCAACTCTGACCACGGTTGGAAAATTCGCACTTATTTTTATAATAATAATAATAGATGTAATATAAGGTTGTTGTATGATGACTTTTTAGACCTTCTTCAAGACTTACTTGTTTTATATTCAATTAAGGCATGCACAGGCATTATTTATTACCTCCCGCCACTTAAACAGTGACATATTTATCCCTCTATTGTAGATGTCCAGACTATCTAGTCTCGAAAATAAATTTCGACATTAAGTTGAGATGCAATTTTTTTATTAAGAGACAACAAGAAGTGAGCAGTGGGTACAATGTGAGTACAGTTGAAGGCGGAGAGTCTCCAATTTTTAGCGCCGCTTTCGTCAAGCGTTGTAGATAGAACTTTTGGAAAATGCTAATTTAAGTAAACTAGTCGAACGGCTTGGTAGCCGTTGACAGATTCGTAAAAAGCTTATACCATAGGGTTTTTTTAGACTCTACAAAATGGGTGCAAAGTCGAATATGGAGAAGAAAAAGCTCAACTTTTCATTTGATTTTTTCTGCTTGAATGGTTCGTAATTCATAATAAATAAACTCAGTTAATTTTCACGGAAGGCAGTTTTTCTCCCAAAAATAAGGATGTACTGTGAATTTAGACAACGGGGTACAGGCACATATAAAGCAAGTTAGCTATTTGCGAGCACAAAAAGCCGTTTGAAGGTCGAAAGCTTAGCATGATCATATGTATGGTGGAGATATTTTACTAGTGATTGGCAGATCTCTGAAAAACAAGTGCAAAGCCTGCCGATCGATAGATTTCGGCGAACTGCATAAACATGCAATGCATATCTTCATATGTAAATTAGGTATATTTTAGTGAAAAACCTTATTAATCGTATTGGTCTATTTATGTAATAATGAAGTAAAAATGCGCTTCGAGCTAGTTTCAACTCTTTTTTTTTGTAATACGAATCGCATGCTTTCATATTAGAACAGATTGATTAATTAATTTCTAAAGGGTGACAGATTAAGTGCGCTAAGTGACTGTAACGGTATAACTGTTCGTGAACACGATAGTTTTTTTCATTTTACATTAACAACATTAAAAACGTCGGACCAAGCTCGCGAGTCCGTCTAGTGCGTTTTCATTAAATTCTAGTTGCTGCGTGGCGGTAATTCGTGATCTATATAATTTGAGTACAGACAATGGGGACTGCTTATCAAACAATTTCTAGCATTCGAAATTTTTCACTGGTGCACAAATTTTGGGTGAGTGGCTTGTTGGCTTCTCGCCAGTCAGTCAGTCAGTCAGTCAGCCAGGTAGCCAGCCGGCGGTGCGACAGCCGTTGAGATTAAGCGGTCACGGGTCCGCCGGCCGGTGAGAGAGTGGAGCCAGAAGCAGCGGAGCTGTTGTTTGTGCCGACTGGTGGCTATGCTCGTGGAGGCTTGCGGAGAGAATCTGTGGCGGAGAGACGAAGTCGGCGGATGAATGGATGAATTCAGCTGTTTACGGCGAAGGGGAAAGGATGAGAGGACACTCGGAACAGTAACAGCAGCAGCAGCAGCAGCCAGAGAGGTACGACGACAACGAGAAAGAGAAAAGGAAAACAATCCTTTCCCCCTTTTTTTCGATTGTTTGGCATGAAAGTGTGCGTTTCTAGTTGGTTCGGCGCTCTACCAGTCAAGCCTCGGTCCAGCGATCAGCCTGCGCTTCTGCGTAGACTCTGCAGCGTCAGCTACGGACTGGAGCAATTAGTGTGTCTGTCAGTATCGGCAACAGCAGGCGGCTGTTGGTTGGCGGCGGCGGCGGCAGCTGCGACGACGTCCAAGTGGGTAGTTGGCTGCCGCTGCCACGTTTGAATAGCGGTAGTGGCAGAGAAGGAAGTAAGCAGTCCTGCTCGCTCGTTCAATTCCTCTTGCCGTTTCTGTCGTCGTTCCCTTTGTGTTGTTTATATATATGAAGCGAGTTTGTGTTCTATTGCTACTGCACGGCGGTTGGTTGTTGAATTTCGGACTGGCAGGGGAGGGAGTCGCGGGCGGGTGAAATGTCGTCGGCTCTATTGGCGCTTGAGAGCGGTGCTGCTGCTAGTTGTCTTGGAGCTTTAGCTACTGCAGTCATCGTCCGTAACCGGGACAGGCTGGTTAGTTACATCAAGCAGGCCGCACGAAGCCTAGACATAGCAACATCCAAGAACAATCTGGCCAACGAACGCCGAATAAAGGGAAGCACTAGTAATACTGCTACTACTAACAGCATTGGCTGGCGGAACTCCGCTGGTCGCTTGTGCGACGACAGTAGCAGCAGTGACAGTTGTTGAATAGACACGGCGGACAGACAAACGGGCAGACCGGTGGTGGTCAGGCCGTTGGTGTCGTTGTCGCCGTCACTGCTGGCCGTGGCCATCTTAACTTACGCTAGACAGACCGCCATCGTAACTGTGGTCGCTGCTAGTTCTCCTGCAACGGGAGCTCTGCGGGGCGGAGTTCAGTAGCGTTCAGTGCTGTGGTCCGATTACTGGCTGACTAATCGTTAGCCAGCACGGGACCTACGTACCGAATATAGGCGGCACGACAAAGACGGAACTGAAAGGTCGCTGAGTGTTGTTATTGTTGTTGTTGTTGTTATTGTTGTTGTTGTTGTTGTCGTCGTCATTTCGAACTCATCTCTTTTTGATCGGCGGCCGCTGTTTTCTGCTGTCGTACTATGCACAGGTGCGATTGCGTGATGTGGACAGTAAGTAACTAGAGTGAAGTAGGCACAAAGCAGTGACGGCTACGACGAGCTAGACAAGGGTAGGGAGATACTGAAATAGCAGAAATGCGGAAGGAGTGAAAGCTACGCTTAGCAGGGAAAGCACAGACTCTGTGTGTGTTCAGTTTGCAGTGGTGTGTAGTTCAGCTGCCGTAAAGAGACTGAGTGAGAAGTACTCGTTACTTGTGGCGACGTTGCCGTCGTTGTACTAGAGTATTGCGCTTGGATGCCTCAGTAAAGTGCTGCAGACACCCAGTAAATGATTTATGCTGCGCAAAAACCGACTGCTGCTGCTGCCGTTGCTCTACTCCGTGGCCTCCGCCTTAGACAGAAATAATCCCGTTTAGCATTAAGCCAGACCGCTTGGATCATCGCGAACATCACTAATTCGCGCCCTAGAAGCAACAGCTAGACGCATTATCGGTTAAACGACTGAACTTGGCACAGAGCCTGTAAGTGCCGCAAATTCTATCCGTTGTTCATAGTGGTCGATTAGTGAATCAGGAATCGAACAGAAAACAGCATCGCTGATCGTATTCTTCCCAAAGGACATGCGTCTGCCCTCCATCCAGCAAAAGCGGGAGCCGCTATAGTTCTAATTCTGCTAGCGTTCAAATATGAGGTATAACGTACACAGTGAGGTGAGGTGATATACTAGGATGTTAGCATTCGAGATTTAATATCGAATTGAGAACGCGCCGATTCGACTCGTCCACTGTAGCCAGGACAGTGGAGCGCAGGAGTCGTACGCAGCACCAAATCGAGACCACACTGCCCCTCTCTCACCGTTGCCTCCTCCCTCTTCAAGACGGAGCAGCACCGATAACTTCAGGAAGATTCATCGAAAACAGTGTATTAGCGAATGGAATACGAATAAGAAAAAGGGTCGTATATCCATCCTACTGCGGAATCTCTGCCAGTCAATAGTGATTGCACGACAATTGCTTGTTCAAGTAGTGGCCAAGGAGCATAAACGCAAAAAAAGAATTGCTACTAGCAACGAATTGCTACATTTGCATGTAGCGGTGTACGTAACAGCTAGCCAGATGGGCATAGTACCGTAAGGGAATAGATTTGTCATTTAAACAGCGCTGAACAACGAGATCTGATTCATCGTCACTTATGCCATATCGTTGCCATTTCTGAGATAACCTTATATTCTACAGCAGCCGGTCTCAAATATCTCAGCGAAATCACACGAAACGAAGATAGACCAGTGGTTAAAAAAGTAACAACGAGAAATAACTTTCCTGTAGTACATGCGTACTTCGTTCTATAACAGGAGCGTATAAAAATATATTTCACCTGTATAATATAACGTTCATATATAGAATGAAATTAGCCATACCTCGACGTTCTTAGTGAAAGTTAACAGTAGAAAAACGTAATAAAAAGCAGTGATCTGCCATCGTCATCATCATCTTTATTCGATGAGAAAATGGCCAGTAACAAGGAGGAAAATCGCTAACCGAAGGAACGACATGCAACGCTCCAGTTCGTGTTTAGGAAGCAACCGATTGAAGCTGTTATTGCTACAAAATTAAGTGTAACACTGTAGATGACTCTGTAAACGTTGCTGCGAAATACCGTAAGTATCCTATAAAGTGTACACCTAGAATAAGGTTCCATTTAGCTCTTTAATTAGGTACGGACTATACTCGAGCCTTGGTTAAAGGGAGTTGCTGCCATGTTGCTTGCTGGGCCTGACATGTCTAAGGATCAAAGTGCTGTTCGCACTCTTAGACAGTCGCTGGCCAATTACTTATAGCCATTCGGTAGCAATTTGGTAGTCTCAATGTCTAGTCCTCTACAGCGCTTTATTCCAGAGATATCTTGATAGAATAGCGAAATAAATACAATCAACTTAGGCGGTCGCTTGTCGCTATCCAGCCTGTTAATGTTCATTCTTCTTACCTCTTTCATTTACTCAATGAGTTGCTTGCTTTCACAATTTTATCTGCCGCTCATATAGCAGAGCCCCCTAGTCATGGACATGCATATACATACATGCACATAGAAGCTATGTATTGTATGAAGCAACAAAGTGCCTAGTTGATCTCTGTGACTATATGAAGTACAATGCCGAACAATTAATTCACTCAGCAGATTTGTTTGGTACCACCTCGATTACTTACCTAAATCTTCCGCTGTAATTATGCCCTTGCGTCAAATCCGAGCCAAATGTTGAGAACTTGCCAATAAGTAAGTATATACAATACTATTATACACTCTTTTTTCAACATAGTTGACCTGCTGCCGAAGTGAGATCTCTATATTGTACTCGCTGTTTAAGACTTAGCTCAGGATGACCATTGATGAAAAGACTTACAACATTACGCGAATCCGATCCGTATTTCCAGATTCGGATATGTTTTTACCGTACTAATAGTCCATCTCAGCTTTATCATTACACGAGTTATAGATATTCCAAAAAAATTTGATGGCGTACGATATGGTAGGCAAGGTTTATCTATTTGGCTTATTATTGTCTCACCTAAGGAATTATTTAGATGTATTAACAATACTGTACAGCCTATCATGATATAATCGGAGCGGTTGGTTCAGTCAGCTCAAAACTATATAAAAGATGGGATGGCGATGCGTTTGCAAATTGAACACGTACTGGTCTGCGTTCGTAACTGCACGTAGATACACTGTGTTTGACGCTGAAAGATAGACGTAACAGCAGTACCGATCGTAAGACATCTATTTGAAACAGTTGACAAAAGAGAAAACAGATGTTATTTTGTTGTTGTTGTTGTTGTTGTGTAGTCGCAAAACCATCTAAAGTTCGTAAAAATGTCCGTCTGTATCTATAGTCAAGTCATTCAACCTGCCTTTATAGATAGCAAAGCTATTTAATTTCACTAAGAATCTTTTTTGGGTTAGGAAAATTTTAAATCTCAAATATTGTTGGAATTTACTTAAGTAAGTAGCAGTAAGTAGATTGTTTGACTCGAAAAGGCAGCCAAACCTCGTGCTAACCCCTGGGTTTTGGCGAGAAAAGAAGTATTGAGTGGTTTTAAGCGAAAATTGAAGCAAAAATTTTAAAATAATATACTGAACTAAATACGCGTCGGCCTGATGAATGAGTGTTTGCCATTTTCTGCTGACACCATAATCTCATCACTACAGAACTTCTGTGACAAGTGAATTTTGTATCTCTTCATTGAAACTCAACTTATACCATTAAAGGAGTTCTCCAGAGATCGAAACAAATGATAGTCTGATGGCAAAAGATGTATTAAAATTTTTTCATCGAAAGTTTCCATTTGAGTAGTCGAAGATGTATCTGGTGGTTTGGCGTTGTTACGGTGTAACACTTTTTTTCTTTGTTCGTTATGGCCAATTATTTTAATAGCCTGCTGTATCAATCTAGTTATTAACAGTAAAGGACGAAGTGAATCGTGTTTTCAGGCGGTAGCAACTGACAATACACGATTCCTTTCCCATCCCATTGAAAATATAGCGTCAGCTTTTTTTTGGGTCAGTCCGGGCTTTGCCGGAGACTGTGGGGCACATTTTTTTTTGTTTGCACATTGTTGTTGGATGTGATCTGTTTTTCACCATTCGAAATTAAATGGTTCAAAATCGTTTAACTTTATTATGTTACTGTAGAGATTCGCAGACAGAAGTGCATTCGGGTCAGTTCGTTTACGTATATTCGTATGACATCAGAAAAGCATTCGTTAGCCAGCAGTCTTCAAATGATTTAGATTCTTTTGGTAATTAGCGCCTAATTTCTTGGCGATATATGATGGCTAGCTAGGGATCAGTCTTGGTCAGCTTTCACAATGATTTTATCAACTTTTTTGTAATTTATCGACGACTACGAAGAGCATATTTCGTTTCAAAATTTCCAGAACAGAGGGCCGCTTCTCATACTAACCATAAATACCATACATTTTTGGTGTACCTGAATAGTGTTTATGGCACTTGTACTGTAATAACTATAGCAAATAGCGAATTGCATTCATATCTAAAAATAAAGTAGGGCGTTTATGATATAATTTGGAGTAAGGCATTCCAATCGTTGCTAAATTACAGCCTTCCAGTGATATTAGTGTTAACTTGAAACCGCTCGACTTATCTGAAATGGGTGATTTTAAAGCCAATTTAATTAGAAGAACAGTCGATATTTTTTTAACAATCTAGTATACACATTAGGACATAAGAATAACGCTTTTTTTCCTTGTATCTATTTCATTTCATGAATGAATGTAGAATGAAACGGTCGATGAACTTGAGTTTTTCTGCATAGGACGTGTGGCGAAGAATGAAGTTCTGTAACTTATGGATAGTGAAGCAATAACATAAATGTGCAGGCGGCAAGGCTTGTTTTTTACTGCAAGGAAGCGCAGATGTATGCTTTGCTGTCAGCAAGCTGTATCTACCCCGGGGCAGTAACATTGAGTTCACCTCCATAAGGTTTGTGCATTTATATCCGCTGAAAAAGGTCATTACGATTCCTTTGCAGGAGTCGGCTTGCGTCCAGATTATGATAAATACTTCAATAGTTGAGCAGGCCGTTTTGTTCGTCGTCAGTACTGTTAAACATCATCAACTAGGTAATGTTGTCTCAGGATAGTGATAGAATCAATATTTATCGTCTCATGATGTCTTATAATGTGGGTATTGTCTGGATCATGCTACGTATGCACCGTTGTGAGGTGTTGTCCTGGTAAACAAAAGTTGGCCGTCTAAAAATTAGCTGATTTTGCCCTACAGCGTTTTGAAATTTCTAGCTGAGAAATGCTGTGAAGAGCGTTCAGGTGTCTGTCTAAGATGTTCTCTATATGTGTTTATTGTTGTCGTGCTGGTAACCATTACAAGTTTGTTGACACTAACTGACAAGGGCACAAAAACATGAAACTAAGAAAAGCAACAAAAGGAGTTAGAATCGTGGGGTTTCAGCGTTCACTTACGGCACACAATGACAAACACTAACTCACTTAGATGGAACACCATTTTTCGTTTTTCAGAGATATGTGATTGAAATAGTCGTTACCTATATACAGAAGGAAAATGTTGTAGCTGGATTTTACGAAAGACTGCTGAATAAATCATTGAAACTAGATTGCCATCACCAGTTCATTTGTATGCGAAAAATTGCGACCACCATATATATATATATATATATTAGTGGCCGCACAATTGTAACACAAGTAGAGGCCGTTCTTTTTGTACTCTTTTCTGTTACTTTGTACTCTTCACGTGTGAGCTCCATATCAAGGAAAGGGGATTTCTCGAAAGTAATTCGTAAAAAAAGTTCAAAGATGGCGTCTTGGGAAACTAGACCGTGCATCCCACCCGAGTGAGCTAGACGCACCCCAGCATGACTTCTTTTTTGCTCAAGGTCGAAGATATATATTATTGCTAGTTTCTATGCAGCTTCCGAGAAACCTGTGGAAACTTCCATGGGGCGAGCCGAAAGATCCTCAATCGGGTTTAAATTTCAGGACTTTGAAAATGCATTGAAATGTCTCAGAAAGCTATTTATACGGATCCTGAATTTTTTAATAGAAAAATTATCAGCTGTTTTTTCGGTAATGTATTTATTGTCAATGAGCCGCCCAGGTAAGTGTTAGCGATTAATATTTTTAAAATTTCTTGCACTTTTCAAACGTTTTTGCCGTATCAACCCTTGCCATTGCTTGCTTTTTCATCAGCTTAAAGCTTGATTCCGCTATACTTTTCCATATGCAGCATACTTGAACAACACTTTAACTATAGTCCGTACGTACCAGTTTGTGTATCGCTTGACATATGGTTAAATAGTCATTAGGGAGAAGGATTATCTCGAAAATGGCTAGTAAAGGTTTCCGTAACGTTCCGAGTCGAAGATGTAATCAAGGTAATAATTAGTGGTTACTCTGAGTGAGACGTGAGTGGCGGAAATGCCACTTTTAGCACATACGAAATGATGCTGCCAGGTGTACGCCCACAGTTCAATGCAACGGATTTGTCAATTGTGTAGAAGTCTATCTTGGCGTGTTTAACAGTGAATTCAGTGCGTTCAAAAGGCGATCATTTAACCGTCTCCTCAGAGCATTACCTTGTTGGGCTCAACCCATGTACTACAATATGTACAAGCTAGTTTCTGATAAATCGGCAAAATAGCGAAATTGCGAGCTATCTGTTTGATAAGCAAACTAAATTGTTATTAAAGCAATTTATTGTTAAGAAGTAGACTGTGGACTAAATTTGCGATCAAAACAGAACCGTGGCGGACTGTAATGAAGGCGTTAAGTGAAGTACTAACGAATCTTAAGGGTGACTTGAAATAAGAGTCAGTGTGATTTGAATATTTGAAATAGTGCGTCGCATACGTTACGCCATTGTTGAATTTGTTATTCGGTGGCACAACCGCCACAACAGCATCTGTTCTTGATGGCAAAAGGCAGAGAGATAGCTAAGGGCGAAAAGGCTCCGCCCATGTGATCGCTTTAGTGCAGTTTTGTGGTACATATTCATAGTATCTATTACAAATACAGACACCGATAGGTGTTTTTATGCGAGCTCGTTATTGGAAAATGATTGCAAAGTCACGAAATCAGAAAGCTGCTTTAAAATCAATTGGTTTTTAATGCAAAATCATCATAATGTATTGGAAGATAGAGATGATATGATTGACAGAATTCAGCACAGCCATGGAGGCAAGCAAAGCGAATCAAACTGGGCACAATTTACGCAGCGACCCTGCACCACACAGCACTGGTGCTTCATATTGGATCGAGGTCATCAGAGTACAATATACTGGACGCCTAGCGGTGTAAGCGAACGTCCTTCTCGAACTCTCCTGCCAGCGCTACCGGCCCCAAGAAGCAGTCCAGTCAATTTGCACTTAAATTAGCCGCGCTGAAAACTGTCGTTCCGCAGAGAAACGTTAATTGACGGAAACGGATTAGTCTAGAACGGTCAATGTATTTGCAGCCCCGTCAGCCTAGTTTTATTCGTTGACGCTAAGCGTGCTAACAACAGCGACGAAATAGAATACAGCTGCGCTCTCTGTGAACAAACGCTCGGTTTTACCTTTCCGAAGTATGGCCGTTGCGGTAGAATAATACAGAGTATGTTAGGATGTCCGACTGATGGGATATCTGGTGCAGCAGCAGACGCAGATGGACATTGTTCTGCATGTTTCGTATCTGCTTTTCGAGTAAGCGATTATCAGTTATGTGATCGACCAGATTCTCGCAGAGACAATAAACTTGGTAACTGTGCGACTCACCGCCACACACGACTAGAAAAAGAGTGTCCAGCAGAAGAAATAGCTGCTATAGTATGTCTGTGGCTACGCTGATCGAACATTGAATAACGGGCAATAATAATAATCACAATAACAGTTCATGGTTCGTACGAGAAATTTGCCACATGAATCAGTCGGTGACGGAACACCAAAATAGTTTAAAGGAAAGATACTTTAACGTATGGCAGAGAATAACCAAGCAGCGATGCTCATTATGTTAAAGGCTCACACTAGACCTGTTTTTTGATCCATTATAGTTTCTTTTCTTAAAAACAATCCCCATCCCGTGAACATAAAACTCAAAGGTCGTGTGAGAAGATTTCAAGAGCTAAATTTCGTTTAAAGGTAAAGGAATTCACTGCTTCATTGTAGCAACATGAATACGATTTACCCATTTTTTCTTATTTAACCACTCTCCAGTTTCACCTAGAATATAACGTTAATCCGATGCAACTTCGAAGCTATCGATGCAGCAAAGCCTCTACTTTTACCAGAGGAACTTCAAGGCCAGAGACGCCTGTTTCAAAGCCAGTTCTTATTGAGCCCATTCCTTTTTAGGAACTAGACATACAGAACTCGCGAGTCTATCAATACGGAAGCAAAAGGGACGCTAAGAGTCAAGAGAAGCGGTAACATTGGGCAGCAAAAAGGCCAGCAAGTGGTACTTGTTCGCCTAGATTTTCCGAAGCCGGGGTACCTTAGTAAGCTCTAATTAGCAGCACTAGCCATCAATTGGCAGGTGCTATTAGGAACAAAACGGTAGCCTCAGGCCAAACAAGGCGCACAAAACGGATCAAGAGTTCGGAGAGCGCGACGACAGTAAGTACAGGGCAATGTTGACAGAAGCTCTACTTGGCCATTTCCTCGCTGCGGTACAATTAAGGCAACAGTCAGGTAAATGAGCTAGCTCTTCTGTGAAAATTAGAAAACGTCAACTGTCGAGCTACAAAGCCATGGGGGTGTCCGCTTTCTGGACCTTCTATCGTTCTTGGTCTTTCAAGGCGTCGATGTAATAGTCCTGTATTAAATCTGGATCGACGCGCCGTTTAGCATACCGTGTTTCCATAAAGGACTTGCACGATAAGACCAAATGACAAAGGGTGGATATACTAGAATCAGCGCCAGATCGATATGAAAACGCTCACACCGTAAAACAACCTTGCTATTTTAGAAAGTCACAAGCTCCGCATAAGAGCAGGACAAGGTATGTTTGACCAGACCCTGCCGAACGATCAACAGAACTGGTGGAAATGTTAACGTGGCGCCTCAATGCGGAGCAGACTATAAGCAATCGTGGCAGACGACTTCAACTCAAAATTAGGGAGGCCAAAAGGGACTTGAAGAAGCTTGTTGATTAATACCTGGCTGGACTCTGAATGTTAGATTGTACCCGACAGAAGGGTGCTGACATCCACTGACGCGACGGGTCTTTCATTATCGACCTATATACTCTCGACCAGTTTACCTGTCTTTCGAGTAGCATATCTTGAACCAAAGGATCTCTTACATACTGGGGCACCGTTACTTTCCTGTGACTACGCACACCTCCACGCTAATACATACAGCAGCCTCAAAGTAACAGCTTGGGCAAAGATACAGAATACCGTGGATGTTTTTCATTCTAGACTTATCTTACGTCAACGAGTGCAACGCCAACTTTCTATATCAAACCTCATCCCAATAGCCCATGAATCAGCGATATCTATATATAGTCAAAAAAGAAGGCCGATCCAGACCAGATCAGGCCAGAACATCGCAAGAGCACAGTAGTGTCAGCCCTATACCGGACTGCTTTCTGACACTTGTCTACATGACGGCGAAGTACCGGACAACTTATAAAATAGAAAGGAACTCGTGAAAAGGAATTACTAATGCTCCAAGGCAAGGCGCTTTCAGACTTATCCTTTGAGCGCCTTTCCGTTTTTCTGAAAACGTGAGGCAAATCCCAAAAGAACAATACGGCTTCTCTAAAGAAGAATTAACAATGACTACCTGCTAAATCTCACTCACCAAGATAAAAGCACAAGGAGATTAAACAGTTCATCGATGCTGTGTTTATCAATTTCGAATTTGGCATTCGACAAAGTGTCAAAGGGATTTTTGTTCAAGCTCGCGAAGACAAAAATTCCGTACAAGCTTATCCAGCTCTTTGTTTTGGTTTTACAGGAGAGTTCGATTT